GTTGGCACAAATGAGGGCCCTGCTTTTGTTGATTGTTATTTCCGAAAGTCTGGAGCTGGGCCTGAAAGGGTACAACCAGAAGAGAATCCCTGGTCTCTGCTGTGCTTAGCACCTTGTCAGAGCCCCAGACGTTTCTGCAAAGGCTGACCCTCAACCGGGAAGTGCTCCTGCGCAGCCGGGAATACAGACCGGGCTCACATGGAGATGCCCGTGAACTGGCTTTGGCAGGGAGAAATGTCAGGAGGCAGAAGCTGATGGCTGCTGGTCGTGGGCCGCTCTGGATGCAGAGCTAGAGAGGGACAGAAGGGACATCCTGGCTTTGTGACTCGGGGTCCGGGTCCTGTGTTTCTTCAACTCTGGTGCTTACCCTTCACCTAGCACAGCCGTTTTAAGAGGAAGAATTGAGGGGTGTCTCTGCTTTCTTGATGCTCCCCCCACCACCACCCGTCTGCCTGGCCTATCGGTTCCCACAGGACCACAGGCCTGTGTCTGATGGCATTCTGCAGTTCTCCGTCACTCAGGGCATCTTAAGTCCCTGCATCTCATGGGATTATCCCCTTGCCTCTCCATACTACTCATCCAGAGCCCCCCACTGTCCCTTTGCCAAGCATGGTGGAACAGGAGACGGGTCATGATCCAGATAAACCTCCCTGACTTCTTGGGAATGGCTCCAGCCGAGGGACTTGGGCGTACTTGGATTTGAGCCCCAGAGCCACTACTAACTGTGGATATGGGCCTCAAGAGCCCGTTCCCATGTCGTGTGCTTGCAGGGTGGTTGGGAGAATTGGGAGTGATGGGGTGCAGCGTCCTGCTTGGCCCCCGGATGCCATGATTAGGTCACACCCTCGTCATTCTCATCTGCACGAATAATGGTCCCCTGCCTGCCCTTGCCTCCCCTCCTGGTCCCCTGGTGCGCTCCCATTGTCCTCCCTACTGTTGGCAGAGTTATTCAATCTCCAGGCTGTTGGAAGAACCTTGTGCGTGGCCCTCCCACGGCATTGCCTAGAGGTCCTGTGGGATAAGGCATGGACTCAGCAAAGCAAATCAAGCCTTTATGGTCTGCCTGCCTGATCTAATGTCACAGTTCTGGCCTCGGAACCCGCCATCCACCCCCCACCCCATGCGCCATCCACCTGCCCCCCATGCCCCGTGTGCCTCGATGTACAGAGAGACCTGTGGTTTCTTGAATACCCCGTATGCTTTCAGTCTTGAGTTGTCTGAACATCTCTTTCCCTTTTCCTAAAATGCCTCTGCCTCTTCCCAGGAAACTCCTAAGCATCCTCAGTGGCCAGCTTATAAATTCCTCTTGCAGATAAGCCCCGAGTTTGTCTCGTGGCACCTTCCTGATCCTTGGACACATTCCTGAATCACTCCTCTGCTCACCCTGTGTATTCACTGGGTCCCCCCTTCCCCGGACATGGAGCTCCTGGAGAGGCTGGGGGACCCCATCTGGGTCAACTTTGTCTCCCCAGAAGTAGGCATGACACTCTTTATCCTTTGGCCCAGTACATATTTGCTTGCTTGAAAATAAACTAAAGCTGTTTTCCAGGAATCAGGCAGCTTTGGGGAATAGCTGAGGATGTGAAACTGAAGAGACACTGGAGTTTTCGTGCTTTTTTCTTTTTTGTAAGCGGAAGTAGCAGCATTAACAGCCTGGAAGGGTTCAGAAGGTCAGGAAAAGCACAGCTTGAGATCCTAGCTGCTCTGCAAGGCCCGTTCACTTTTCCACATCCCCTGTAGCCGAGTTCAAGGCTCGGTGTCATTTCCTCAGATTTATCCTTTGTTTTCCCTGCTTTGACTTATTTAAACTCACTGCTTTTTAGCCTTTCGAGTTCCTGCAGCCAACAGGAAAGTCATGAATAGCTGTTCAAAAAAATACTCAAAACCAAACAAAAACAACCTAAGGCCTTACCCTACTGCACCTCTTCCCAGAAGCCTTCCAGGCCTAGGATTCTTGCCTGATCTCCTCTCACACTTTTTGGTGTGAATTTTTGGTGGTTTGCCTTGGTCTGTAAATCTCTTCCCTTGGGCTGGTCTTGTTCTGCCTCTGAGCTTGCACAAGGCAAGAACTACCCTGTCCTGATCTCCATTTTAATTTCCTGGTTGGTTGAGGCCGAGGGCCCAGCTAAGTGCTGGGCATATCCTGGGGTCCCATGGTCTTGATTGGTGGGCTTTGGGAGCTCTTGCTGGTGTGCTTTCAAATCCCACTCCATTGAGAGTCTAGTTTAAGTAGACCAGGCAAAAGCCATTGCTTCTTGGAAACCCACTCTGCTCAGTACTGAGAAACAGGGCAAGAGACTCTGCTGTTGGCCCAGGGCCCTTTCCCAGGCAGAACTACCCAAACGTGGCTTCCTTCTTGCCTCATCTTGGCTCTCACTCACCATCTATCCATCTCGTCACTGGCAGAGACGAGGGCCACCTTCCAACCCGCCTCCAGGCATGGGAGCCAAGCCACCACTGACCACATGCAGCCTCTGAGCTGCTGGCTGCATTTTACCTTCACTTGGCTTTTGACAAGCCACAGAGGAGTGGACGCTAGACCTCCTCCTTCGTTCTTCATCCTTTACCAGGACCCTGAGAGGGAGAGTGGAGGATTCTCTGCTCCTTCTCGGGCTTTGGCAAACTGGACTTTCCTTCGGGGGTACCCCTGCCAGCAAGAGAGCGCTCTCATGACGCAAGGCAGTACACACCCATGTGGGCGTGCTGGCTGACCCCCGCGTTTGATCGGATAGTCACACGGGCTGGCACTGCCCTCCTCTGAAGCAAGCAAATCCTCACCCCCTTCCCTTCCTCCGGCTCTCCCACAAGCGATGGCAATATTCATTCCAGGGAGTTTGATTTTGTAGCAATGGGGTTCAAAGGCTACTACCAAAATGAGGTCCAAGGAGGTGTTTGAACAGAAAGAGGCCGCTGGGCTCTCCCTTAGAACCAGGAAAGTATGAGGGCTTCTTTTTCTAATGAAGGGGGTAGGGGGATAATCTGGGGCTCTTGTTCAATTCTAGGGAGCTAGGCGTTTGGGGGATGTTGCAAGAATGCCCTGCATGGATGGAGGCATCCAGTGGGGTGCTGCCAGTAGCTCAGTCTGAAGAGTCAGACAGCAGGCGAGCTCTCTACCATGAGCCATGTGGGACCTTCTGGGCCTTTTCTGGGCCCTCAGACCCCTGTCTACAAAATGGGCATAACCATGCGTAGCTCTTCAACTTGTGAACTAGCAGGTGCCTAATGAAGTCATTCATTTATTCATTCATTCCATAAACATTGATTCAACACAGTATAGGTGCCAAAGGTGTAGGACAGCTGTGGTCTTCTCATGGAGCTAATAGATTTTGTCATTTGTGTTTATAACTTTGTGAAATGGGCAGGGCCTACATGGCCTTCTCCACTTTCCAGGTGAGGACACGAGCTTGGGGAGATTGTGTGTCTGCTCAGCGTTCCCACAGCAGGTGGTACAGGACAAGTCAGGACTTCTGCTCTCTTCGGGAGCAGGGCCCTCGGGTGTGGGCCCTGGCACTGCATCTAGACCCACAGTTCTCAGTGTTGGCTGCACACTGGAATCACCCAAGGAGGCTTAAGAACTACTGATTCCTGGGGCGTCTGGGTGGCGCTGTCGGTTAAGCATCCGACCCTTAGTTTCTGCTCAGGTCCTGATCTCAGGGTGGTGAGATCGAGCCCCACATCGGGCTCTGCACTCTGTGTGGAGTCTGCTTGGGATCTCTCTCCCTTTGCCCCTATTCTGTCTGTCTGTCTCAAATAAATAAATCTTAAAAAAAAAAAAACAAAACTGACTGAGTCCTGGGTTCTCCTCCCAGAGATTCTGATATCATCAATCTAGGGCATGGCTTGGGTATCAGGATTTTTTTTTAAACTCTCCAGGTGACCCCATGCAGCCAGGTTTGGAAAGCACAGCACAGAACCTCAAGGAGCTGGCTGCCATTGCTGAGCATGTTCTGGAGAGCCAGCTGGGCAGCAGAGCCAAGCAAATGCAGCGTCCTGTTCTTAGGAGAGATTAGATCACAAATAGCAACAACAGGGGCGCCCGGGGGGCTCAGTCAGTTTAGTGTCTGCCTTTGGCTCAGGTCATGATCCCAGGGTCCCAGGATCGAGCCCTGTGTCGGACTCCCTGCTCAGTGGGGAGTCTGCTTCTCTCTCTCCCCCCCTTCTTGTGCTCTGTCTCTCGCTCTCTCTCCCTCTCTCAAATAAATAAAAATCTTAAAAAAACCCAAAAGACAAAACAAAAAAACCCAAACAGCAACAACAACAGTGGTGAATGCCCGGCACCTCCACTGTTGTCCTCTGCACTAGCATCTCTGCAAGGTGGTTCCAGTGAGAAACTGACGAGCACTTCTACAATGGTGGAGCCAGTTTGATACCGTGAATCCATGGGACCAGAGCCCTTAGACAGCTTGGGAGTGATGCTGGACTCAGTTTCAGTTGAAGTGGCTTATTTACTGAAGAAACTCAGGAAGGTTCTGTTTGCCCAGCCGTGGCTTCTGACGGGTCATCCATATTTCTGCAGGGGCAGCATAATCACTGTTGAATCTCCTTGGAGTGACTCTGTTTCCTTGTCCTGGGGGAAAGGATGAACGATTGGGCCAACCACAGCATTTCTTTTGATGGTTATAGGTTTGATCTGTGTTCAGGTTCTCCAGACCCTGAGCTGTCCTGATTGACTTTTGATCAAGGAAGCGATCCTGTTTCCAGACTCTCATGGCTTGATGGGCTCGACTGGGCTGTCTGGCCACTGTCACTCTAGCAAATGGTAGACCTGCAGCTTCAGCCAAGGTTATCCATCTCAAAACCAAGGGCCTGTTTTCTTCTCCCCGGGAATCCCACCTTTTTGCTGGGCCCCCAGGTGCTTCCAGGCCTTCCCTCACTCCCTCCCCCGCAGGACCACAGGGCCCATGGTGAGGTGATGCAGGATCTGGAGGTGTATCTGAGCTGGCCCTTTGGAGGGAAGGCAGCGACTGACTATAAAGGGTTCTTCTCTTTTCTGTCTCTAGCCCTGGAGCAGCTGTTGACAGAGCTGGATGACTTCCTCAAGATTCTCGACCAGGAGAACCTGAGCAGCACAGCTGTGGTGAAGAAGAGCAGCCTGGCTGAGCTCCTCCGGCTTTACACCAAAAGCAGCAGTAAGTGTGGCCCGGGGGCCTCAGAGAGGTCCGCATGGAAACAGAAAGATAGTCACACTTGGGCTGCCACAACAGAGTCCCCTCGACGGGGCGGCTTACACAATAGAAATTTGTTTTCTCAGAGTTCTGGAGGCCAGAAATCTGAGATCAAGGCTTTGGGCAGCGTGGCTTCCTTCAGGGGCCTCCCTCTCTGGCTGTAGATGGCTGCCTTCTGTCTGGGGCTTCACAGCATCTTCCGTCTGTGTGCGTGTCCAAATCTCCGCTTCGTACAAGAATACCAGTTATGTTGGATCGGGGCCCACCCTGGTGGCCTCCTTTAATGTTGATTACCTCTTTAATGACCCCTTCTCCTACCAGAGTCACATTCTGAGGTATCCAGGGCGAGGACTTCGTAGATGAATTTGGGCGGTGGGGGAGGGGAACGCAGCTCAGCCCATCACGATAGTGCAGGAGTGATGTGACCTGGATGCGGGCCCCAGACATCTCTGAACACTCAGCACGGCAGCCCTGAGTGTGGTTTTAAAGTGTTTTCGAAGCACTTCTCCTTACTCGTTCAAAGGAGAGAAGGGCTAATAAACAGTTCGAATAAGAGCCAACGCTTAATTGAGCATTTCCTACCTGCACGCGTATTAACTTGTTACATCTTCAGGTCACCCCTCTTAGGTTGGTGCTGTTGTTACAGCTGAGGTCTGGAGAGTTGAAATCACTTGCCCCATGTCCTGTGGCCCAAAGGAAAACGTAGTTTTAAAGCTGTAGCTCACAGAACTCTTGAGTGCATAGGGTTTTTTTTTTTCTGTCCTTCTTATTGAGGGAGATTTTATATACACTCAAGTACGTAGATCTTAAGCATTCAATCCAGTGAGTTTTGACAATTGTATACACCTGTGTACCTACCACCCAAAACAAGACAGAGAACGTTTTTATCATTCCGGAAAGTTCTTTCTTGCCCCTTCCCAGCAAATTCCTCCCCGCCCCCACCCTCACCCCAACGTAGCTGTTGTTCTGATTTCTCCCACCATGCCTGCGTGGTGTTCGTGGGTTTGGGCTGTGACGAGTAACGAGGCTGCTTTGAACGTCCTTGCACAAGCCTTCTTGCGGGCATATGGTTCCATTTCCAGCACACTCAGATTTTCTTTTTTAAAAAAAGCCTTCTTGTGAAGTCCTGACAGTTTAGTTGAGTCTATTTTTATGTCGGATGTCTGAGAATTGGAAGTGATATTTTGGGACAGTGAGGGACCATAAGAGGGCATCTGATCCCTCTGCCTGGCGGCAGGAGCAGCCGAAACGCACCCCGAGGAGGGAAGTCGGCTGTCTGCAGCCCTCGCCGCCAGGAAATTCTCCCTCACGTCCAACCTGGACCCACCGTGCTACGTTTCAGGGTCGCTTTTCCTTTTCTTTGTTCCCTGTGGAACTAGTTTGTATTCTCTGAGTGAGACAGAAGTCCTAATGCTGAGGTATGCTGCCTTCTGCCCGGCGGCCTTGTCCTCTGCGGGACGAGCTGGCTCTCTTAGCCTTCCATGAAAGGCGTTTTCCTGGAGCCCATTTGGGGCCTTTGCCATTCTCCCGGCCACCCTGGGGTTCCCAGGCTCCTCCCAGCTCCATGGCTGGTCAGCAGCGCATCAGAGGTGGGAAGGCTAGGTGGGAAATGCACATTACAGAGCGGGTGAGTCAGAGATGAGTCAGGATCTATGAGTACAACTCTTTAAGAAGCACACTCCCTGACCGACCGTTTGGATGTGCTCTGACTTGGGATGTTTAATGCTAGACAACACCTCTGTTGGGAACTGGAAGACCCATGGGATGGGCTCCAACCCCTGGTTCTTGGTTCTGATCACTCTTTCTGGGCCCCCTGGGTGGGGTCTCCTCTTTGGGTTCATGTGCTGTGTAGCTTCCTGTAGGATGACCTTTGTTTCACCCCAGATCTTTGCATGTTCTGCACTGATAAAGTCAGGCCCTCCCCTGACCCTCGGTGTCCGCAACTTGGAGGAGGCGCCCCAACGTGAATTGCCCACAGTGCACCACTCAGACCACCGGAAGTACGTGCACAGCCTTACCGAGACCCGTGGCCGCCCCGCCTGTTCTCAAGGCTGGTGTCCATTCTGGTCCTCTCCGTGCCCTCTTCGCCAGCACAGCGGTTAGAGCAACAGCTAACAGCTTTTGTGCACATCCTCTGTCCTAGCACGGGGCTTAACGTAGGAGGTGGATGATGCCACCTAGTTCCCGTCCCAAGTCAGCGAGAGAGGTGTTGGCCTCATCTTCTCAACAAGAGCGTGGAGGGTTTGCAGAGTCACTTCTTCAAGGCACACGGCTGTGAGTGGCAAAGCCAGGGCTCGGGCGTGGGCAGGCGGCCCTCACAGTTCTACTCCCCTCACCGCCCCATGTTCCAGGTCCACCTGTGCCAGCAGGAATTGCCCTACACAGGACAGAATCCAAAGCCCCCCCTGAAATCAAAGCATTTGTCTTCCTTCTCACAGTCTCCCAGGCCCGTCTTGCTGTATATGTTCCAGAAAATCAGCTCAGCTTGATGGGACTTGCAGGTAGAGGCAGGCTGATCATTTTGAGATAGTCTGTGGTCTGCATCGGCTGAGCTGTTGTTTACTCCCACACATTTTGGGCAGAGCATGAGAGAGAGGTAGAGAGAGAGAGTGTGTGCGTGTGTTTGTGTTTACCCTTTTCAGATTGTCCATTTGGGTTTTCTGATCTTTTATCGTATGAGCGCAACGAGAATTTTCTCTTCTCTTTGCCTTTCATCTGGATGGTCAAGGCAGGGTTTGAGGTTTATCAGGAGCCTATTATTTGTTCCCTGTTTTCACCTGAGAGGGCCGTGGGTCTCCCAGTGCCCTGCTCAGAGACTCTGGGAAAGTGTCGGCGGCGGGGCGGGGAGGGGGGGGTTGCCCCTCAGATGGGAAAAGCTGCTGATGTTCTGTCTATCCACCTGTAGCAAAGAGGGTCCCTGTCCCTCCTCCTGACTCCTCATCCAGTTCTCTAGGAAGGACCATGCCCTGCACACAAGGGCCATTCCCCAGAAGCCACACGCTTACTCGGACCACGCTGAGCTCTCCTTTCCAACCATCCCTGTTGTCATTCCCCACATGCTTGTGTTAACTATCCCATGGGCATCTGTTTCCCCCACCAATTTTGAGCTCATAAAGGTAGAGACAGTGACTTCTATTTCATTCTGTGCTGTATCCCCAGCACCTCGTATAGTGCTGGGTGCTCAGTGCACTTCCGAAAATGAATGAGAGAATGATAGAAAATTCTCCAACCCAAGGCTACTGCCTCCCAGACATGGGACAGCTCAGCAGTCTCCCATTATAGGGCCAAGTTCACTGGGCATTTCCCAGGATTGCAGATGGTTCTGGGAGCCTCTTACTTACCAACCTAGATGGTCCTGAATTAGCACCCTGAGAATCAAAGCCTGAGCAACCATGGCCTGCAGCAGAGTGCCCAAGGCGGGAATCGCAGCCTTGGGAAGTGGCTGGTGGTGCTCATTTTCTCTGCATTTTACAAGCTGCCATCTTGGGGAGGAAGCACCTGCCCAGAATCTAACAGTTAAAACAATAATAATAATATCTTGCCTTTTTCTTTTTCCTTTTTACAGGAGCATGGGCTTAGTCAAAAGTAAGAAAAAAATAAATGAACGTAAGATGAACATTGCACTATTTACATTCCTTCAGTTCCTATTTTGATCTTTATCGGCATCATCTGAATATTTTTATGTAGTTGTGGTTTGCCTCTGTATTCTGCTTTACGTTATTTTTACATTTAGAATTGCTTCCTGTGCACATTTCCATGTGCTGACAGTTCCCCTACTTTTTCTTTTTTTGCTATTGTGAAACATGATTCAACTGTAAGTCTTAGATATCTCTGTAATAGTGGACATAGAGCTTGTTATTTTTCACAGTTCGGTAGTATCCACGGATGGATGAACAGTGATTAGTGGCATTAGGTTTTGTAATTTAAAAAAAAATCCTCATACAGGGGCACCTGGATAGCTCAGCTGATTCGGCATCTGCCTTCAGCTCAGGTCATGATCTCCGGGTCCTGGGATCGAGCCCTGTGTCTGGCTCCCTGCTCAGCAGGGAGTCTGCTTCTCCCTCTGCCTCTGCCCCGCCCCCTCGCTCATGCTGTCTGTCCTTCTCTCTCAAATAAATAAAATCTTAAAAAAAAAAAACCTCATACAACCTTACAATAAACATCCTCAAATAAAATTTTGTTTACATGCTGGAGTTTTTCTTTAGGACAAATTTCTGGCAGTGGAAATGCTGGGTTAAAGACGATGAACACTTAAAAAAAAAAAGAATATGAACACTTAAATTATCCTCCAAAATCTCTTCCAAAATGTCTGTGCCAGTTTACACACTCTCTAGTAATCCATTTATTTTTAAAGGTGACTGTTGTTATACATGTTGATGTGTGATTTTTTTTCAACTTTTCCCATTATCGAGCCTTTGAGCCCTTCTCCATGGTTTAGGCTGTCATTTTTAATCTTCATTAGTTATAGGGTTAACTTTTTCAAGTTCCTTAATATTTGAGTTTTGTACCCTTGGAAACTTAAGAGTTTGGTAAAAACAGGCAATGTGCCTCACAATTGTTTTTCACAAATCCTAGGCAGACAAGGCACGTGGCGTAGCTGTTTTGCTCAGAATTACACGATTAATGGCAGAGCTCGCTGCCCACCCCTGCAGGGCACTATTCTTGTGTACTCTTCTCTGGAGAAGGTACTGACCTGGCCCCTCGGGCTCTCACTCAGTGGAAGGATACCAGTTGTGGCTAACTACATTAGACCTCATAGTTCCTTCCCATAAACTGCTGCAGGATGGGGTGATGTTGCTGACGGGTCCTGGCAGGGCCGGGCACTGGGGCGGTGATCCCACAGGCTGAGGGCAGAAGACCCCTCTGGCTGTGTCCTCCCCGTGTTCTGGGTTTTCAGGGCTCTGTTTCCGCGGGCCTTTGGGCTGGAGGCTGGGCGGTCTGTGGCATAGGTCTGACATTGAACTGCCTTCTTTACCCAGGTTTGAATGGGTCCCCTTGCTGGTTAACACAGTCTCAAACTAGTGGAGCCACATGTTTCTAGGAAGTGCAAATTAAGGGCAAAAAAAGAAATGCAGGGGGATTTCTAAGAGGAGAAGTGCTAGGATGAGCTTCCTCTGCAGTCTTCTGAAGAAAGGGTCTTTGGGGCATAAGAAACTGAGCAGTGTTGGGAGACTAACATTTCTCTGCCCAGACAGGTGCTGGAAAGGTAGCCTACACAAATGATTTTAGGGGCGCTTGGGTGGGTCAGTCGGTTAAGTGTCTGCCTTTGGCTCAAGTCACGATCCCAGGGTCCTGGGATCGAGCCCTGTGTCGGGCTCCCAGCTCAGTGGGGAGTCTGCTTCTCCCTCTCCCTCTGCCCCTACCCCTGCTTGTGCATGCTCTCTCTCTCTCTCTGTCTCTCTTTCTCTCTGTCAAATGAATAAATAAAATCTTAAAAAAAAAAGATTTTAAAAGAGGGAAGGGCTGGGCTGCCATAAGGTGCAATCTACAGGGTAGAGCAGGTGCCTGGCAGAGCTCCACTTTCAATTCCCAGCACACTTACCCCTCCAAACCCAGAGCTCACGATTTGGGGGTCTCAGGCCCCCACAGTGGCATGGGAACTAAATTTCCAGATCCTCAGTGTGACCTATCCGACAGAGACATCACTGTGATGAGCCCAAGCAAGTAACCCAGACTAGGGTGAGAATGACGGATATGAAATATTTTACAATTTCTTTTCTTTTTTCTTTTTTCTTTTTTTTTAAAGATTTCTTTATTTAGGGGCACCTGGGTGGCTCAGATGGTTAAGCATCTGCCTTCAACTCAGGTCGTGATCTCCAGGTCCTGGAATCAAGCCCCACGTGGGGCTCCCAGCTCAGCCGGGAGTCTGCTTCTTCTTCTGCCTCTGCCTCTCCCCCTGCTCATGGTCTCTCTCTGTCTCTCAGATGAATAAATAAAATTGCCAGAAATATTTTACAATTTAAATGAAATGCTAGAAAATCCAGAGAAATCTGCTTGGTGGAATATGGGGCAAATCTTCGAGGTGCGGGTGCCTTTCCACTTAGAGTTTTAATCCTGAAGCTATCCTTCTGTATCTTTTCCCTCCCCTCCCCCACGACCCCCACCCCCAAGTTAGGAAACTAACAGTCAGCAACTCGGCATTTCTGTTTTTGGAAATTTGTCAACTCCATAATGGACTCTTTCAATCAAGTCAAAATGTATGCTTTTACTGGAACCCCGGCTAATGACAGTGTCTCGGGGGACACTGTTTCTCTCTAAAAGCCATTTCCCGTTGTGGAATCACATGAAACCTTTGTCTTCCAACCTTCCTCTGCAGGTTCTGACGAGGAGTACATTTATATGAACAAAGTGACCGTCAACAAGCAACAGAATGCGGAGTCCCAAGACAAAGGTACAGGCTGGCCCTGCTGGTGGCTCGGCCAGCTTCTGGGAGGGGCAGGCATCAGCTTTGGTCCCATCCCCCCAGCCAGCACCAGACAGCCCAGTGGAGTTATTTCTGGCACTCATATTTTGGTTGATGGTATTTTGGGTTGATGTATTTTGGGATATTTCATCAAGCCACCTCCTTGCCTCTTAAAGGTCTCATGTCCCCTTCATGGATAAGGAATCTGGCCCTAAAGTCTCTCTGCTTTCCCCAGCATCATCCCGGGAGTAGGAAGTCATAGTCAGATGTTCTAGGGAAACAGCCGTTGTATGGTGCTGATTCCACGCCCCAGCTTTTTATCTTTTGATAGAAGTCTGGGTTTTATGTGTGTGTTGGGGGGGGGGCGGTAATAGAAGATGGAAGTGCTGATGTTAGCACCTGCCTTAATATTCAAAAGTTTTGCTCAACGGTGCTCTCTTGGCAGAACATTATACCTTACGTCAGAAGGACATACAGTGTCTTCCATGATGTCTTCCTCTTCTGCTCTGTTCTGCTCTCCTTTTCTCTGAAAACCTTCAGGAGTGGGTCTGGCAGGACCTCAGGGAGACCCAGAGGTTTGCAGAGCTGCCTCGTTGCAGAGGAGAGGGGATTAGAAGCTCCATCTCCCAACTCCCCAGCCTGTGGCCAAAATGCAGAGGCTTAGCAAGAGGTGCAGATGCAGTGCTCCAAGGCACTTGGTCCTGTTCAAGGCTTGGCTTCAGGATCCCAGCCACCAAAGCCCCGAGGCCAGATCCAACTGAGTCTGTCTGTCCTGGGGCTGGCTGGGCCACTGGTTGAAACGGTCAGGCTCAGAAGAGCCTCCGGAGCCTTTTCCTTAAAAGCACACGGAGGCCTGGTGGCCGAGTTCTCCAGTGGGGCTTCGGCACCTCCCGTGCCACTGCCAAGCCTGGGACCCAGCAGAAGTGACCCAGTGCAAGCTGCCCCTGTGCCCAGGGTCGTTTGCCTTCTGGGGAAACTGGGATGGAAGGAGCTGGCATCACAGGGTCGGTGCTGGGAGCTGCTCGATATAACGACCACAGGGCAGCTTCTCTGCTCGCTAACGCTCCGCGGCCGGGCCATTTTTGGCACAGGGCAAGTGGAAGAGAGGGTGTGGAGCCTGCCAGAAACCCCAAACCCGTTCCTTCTGAGGAATCTGCCCATGGCTGAGGCACCACTTGCACCCTATTCTCGGAGGGAAAACCACATTGGGTTTTCCCTGGGGCCGCCCGCCTGGGTAATTAACACCTGCTCAAATAGATCTCAGGGTCCATGTGGCCAGACATTCCGGGATAATGGGCCCTGCTGTGAGCCTGGGCACCCCTCACCAAAGCCTTCTCCTGTTTCCTGCCCACAGCAGCCGAGGAGCAGAACCCACTGACCAACGGGGAGCCTGGCCAGCACTCTTTGGCCCCTCAGAAGAGTCTTCCAGACCTCCCGCCACCCAAGATCGTAAGTGTTCATCTGAGACCCCTGATTTCCTGACTGGGGCCCCCGTGAACTTCCAGTTGTTTTCACAGGAGTCAGTCCCCCAAGTAGCTGGCATTTTCTGAGCACCTACTGTGTGCACACGTACTGTGTGCAGGACATGGGGCGGGGCACTGGGGAGAGAGAACAGAAGGATGCCTGCCTGCAGGTGACATCCGTGGCCCGGGGCCACGGTACTCGGGACACTAAGGCTAACGGGAATGGGAGATGCAGGGAGTTCGCTGCCTTCATCAAATGCCGCCACGTGTTGGAGGCTACCAAGGTCCGTCCAGCACCATGTGAGGGGGGTCATGTCTAGCTGTGGTCACCAGCTCAGGCCACAGCGAACTTCTAGAAATGTAAATCATATCACCTTGCACTTCCTGCTTCAAACCGGCCAAAGGCTTTCCTTGAACTTAGGGGAAAAAAAAAAATCCACGTTCCTTAACCCAGCCCCACAGCCTACACGGTCTCCACAGCCTGGCCCAACTGCATCTCCTGCCTCAGTGCACCTGCTCTTTGCTGGCCTCCCGTTCATGGATTGGACCGCATGGTCGATGTTGCCTTAGGGACTTGGTGCTTTCTGGACCCTGGCTTTCCAGTGGCTGCCACCTCCTCATCTCTCAGACTTTGACAGACAGGCTTTCCTTGACCTGCCGCACGAGACATCACACCTCCGTCCCTACCTCAGTTACTGTCTGCCCCATGGCCAATGACGCCTCCATGGCACTTGCCACCGTCATAACAGTCTTTGTATTATTTGCCTCCCAGTCCAGATGTAAGCTTCCCAGGACAGGGGGGGTGTCTCTCGTTTACTGCTTCGTGGCCTGTGTCTGCACACAGTAGGCCATACACATGTATTTGTTCATGGATGGATGGATGGGTGGACGGAATGAATTAAGGAACCCTACAGATCTGGGCTCAGATCCCAGTCTTGCCAGGTACTAGCTCTTTGACCTTGAGCAAGTCATTTAAGGTTTCTGGCCCTTTGTTTCCTGGTGTTTAAAAGAATGTGAATCTGTCTCCTAATATCGTCTTAATTTGACAGGTAAAGGCTATGCATAGTGTGCTAGGTCAGCTTTCAGGGAGGTGGGCAGCGGTGTTTATATTTAATGGGTGAGGAAACCAAGAATCGGCGGTTTATAGCGTCTGAATGTTGCACACACAGAAAGTGCCAGAATCAGAATTTGAACCCAAGTTCTTTCCTATCTAGGACCTGGTCAGGGAGGTTTCCTGAGAGGTATGAGGTGAGAAATGGGAAGGATCTCTGTAGGTAGCAGGGTCCTGGGGTCAAGAAGTGGGCAGGGTTTCTATGGGCAGCAGAGTCCTGGGTTCAGCTCCAGCTCCTAGCACGCCATCCAGGGGCAGATCTGTGGGCTCAGGTCCCTGCCGAGGGCATCCTGACCCCAGCCTGGCCCCCTCCGTCCATGCCTCCCCGAAGGTGGCGGGGCTCCTTGGGCTGCTCTCACAGCTGGTAGGCAGTTCTGGAATGCTGGGACAGTTGGCACAGTATCCCACTGCATGAAGGCCTCCTGCTGGGGGACAGTTGGCAGAGACTCTTCATCTCAGGCTGGGTGAGCCTTGGTGGCCTGAGCCTGAAGCCCTGGTGTCCCCACTATGCTGACGCCCGAGCAGCGAGCAGCTAGCCACCCTGGTGCACACAAACGTGGTCCTCCCCACCATGTGTCTAGAGGTGCGGACATTTGTCACTTTTCATATGAAGAACCAGAGGCTCAGTTAAAAGAGCCGACCAAGGGCCTGCCTCTGGAATGGAGCAAGGCCAATTTCTGAATGCAGGTTCTTGGTCTCCAGGCCCTTCTGCAGCCTGCCTGCCGGAAGCACTTCTGTGCAGCAGAGTGAAGGTGTCTGTTCTGTTCTCCCAGCTGCAGGCTCCCCTCACTTTCAGCCCCAGGACTGGGGAGAGGGGGTGTGGCCCCTCCAGGCCAGATCCGTAGCCGCCATGCTAACCGGTGGGCAATGCTATGGTTTTTCTGGTGTGTCTCAGGCGCTGCTGGCTGGGTGTAGGGAAGGGAGGTGGCTGCTCTGAGCTGGAACTTTCCTGTCCGGAATTCAGCAACTGATTCTGATCAGGACCTTCAGCTCTTGGGCAGAAGAAGCATCGCCACCTACCATAACCCACCTGGGGCAGCAGCTTCTGGGCCACCACCTGCTGAGGGAGGCTCCCACCAGGCCAGGGTCACGGGCACCGAGTCCTGGGCAGTGCTGACTCACTCTGGAAATCTGTGCTTTGTGGACACGGTTGGGGGGCTGGGACCAGGTCCTAGTGAGCGCCAGGCTGCCCTTGTCCCGGCAGCTGCTGGGACTCTGGCGCCGGCGTTTCCGGCTCCTTTGCGGGTCCCTGCGGCATGGATGCGAAAGCCCCAAGGGCCCTGTGATCGCTGGCCTTCCCCTAGCACTGACTTCTTGTGTTGGCCGTGACTGGGGGGCCACTCCGGGCCCAAAGAGGCTTGTGTTGGCCTCAGAGAAACCCAGTGCTGGAGTTGGGAGAACTGTCACCCCAAAATAACACCTTCCTGGAGGGACCTTCAGACGTGAGGCCGGTGTTCCTGCGGACGCACTCCAGGCCCCGGAGGGTTCCAGCGAGGCAAGCTGACGCTGCCCTCGTCCTTCCTTGTGGGGTTCCTCTGCCGAGAAGGATAAGGGCTGCTGACCTGACTGCGGCCCTTTCTGGTTCCCTCCCAGCCCTGTTTGGGGTGCCCACCCCCACCCTAGGGGATTCCTGAGGAGAGGCGCAGAGAGAGAGTTCTTCCCCTGCGGCACGCACACGCCTGCCCTCCCGCAGGCCTCCTCTGGCCAAGTCCAGCGGCCACAGCCAGAACTCTTTAGTCCAAGCCCCCTGAGGGGCAGCGTCAGGGTGGACTGGGAAACAGCTCAGTCGCCTGGCTCTCTGGGAAGAGGAGAATCAAGGCGGGAGGGAGGGAGGGAGCAAGCGGGGCCGTGTGAGGTTGGAGCGACCTTGTAACCTCTCTTCCCGAGACAGAGAAAAACGAGCCCCTTCCCACCCTGACCCCAGAGCCTCAGGGTGCCCTGAAGCTTGTCCACACCTGAGGCCTGGCTCCGGGCTTGCTGAGGGCTGAGACAGAAGCTGGATGTCTGCCTGGGGTCCTCTGAGCCCGTGGCCGGGCCGGGAGGGTGGCTTCCGCCACAGGCTTAGGATGCCCTGATTCTCTCTCTGGTGGCTTGGGTGCCTTACGGTCTCCTACTGAGGCAGTGGGGTAGCAGACAATGTGAGAGGCGACCGGGGCTCTGGAGCAACCTCGTGGGCGTGAGCAGTGACTCAGGCAGCTGTGTGCACAGCCAGATGCTGTGGTCACTGTAGGAGGAGCAGATGTTCGCTGGCATTGTTTCTGCTCCTGGCTTGTGTAGCCATCTCCACCTCAGCTCCCCTTTGAGGCCCGAACAGGCGTTGGCGCTGGGCTTAAGTGAGCTGCTCCATGGGGGAAGCGGCTTACTCCACACAAGGACCTTACCATGGTCAGTCCGGGGAGCTAGGGCTGGCCGGATCTGCTCTCCCTGTCCCGAGAATGTTCCACAGTGCACGCTGGGGCAGATTGCTCATAACTGCAGAGACGCCTCAGGTCATCCGGACTACTGCTCTTGTTCAGCTCTCACGTCTACTCTAAATCAGAATTTGCAAACTGTAGCCCCCTGGCCAAATCCACAGCCACTGCTTTTGTAAATAAAGTTTTATTGGAACAGAGCCATACTTCTCAGTTGTGTATTATCTATGGATGCTTTTGCTCTGCAGTCCCGGAGTTGAATAGCTGAGATCAGAGGCTCTAAATGGCCTGCAAATCCCTTAAGTATGTGTTATTGGCCCTTTGCAGATAAAGTTTGCAGACCTCTGGCAAATCCTGCTGAGCAGGGTGGCTTTCTTCCCTGTCCCTTCTTGTAGATTCTCAGAACCTTCTTTCCGGTTGTGAAGTCACATCTCTTCCGCCTCTTCACTTAGTGTCTCCAACCTGGATCATCACAACGATGATGACAACTAAAATAATGCTCCTTTATTCGTAACCCTGAGCGATGAGCAATTCTCGCTCCTTGGACTTTGGAGAACAGACCATTACACCTGTGTAATTATGTGACTCTTCTGGATTTGGGGGGAATCGTTTTATCCTTTATCTTGACCCAAGCGCTTAGGTTTTGTCCCGGCAGCCTTGAGAGCGGGGACTGTCTTCTTTAATGAGGCTGAGCTTGGGCTTCAGCGTGGGCAACACCAAACGTCTCCTCCGTCTCCTCAGGAGACGGCTGTTCTTCCTCTGCCGAACATGTATACAGGCAACCTTTTCCCTTCACTAATACCTTTATATTTTTTAGGTTAGTAAAAATTCATATGTATTGAATAATAGTGCTGGGCAGAGTTTAATCCTTACAGTGACCCCATGTGGCAGGTATTTCTACTCCCCCCATTTTGCAGTGGAGGAACCGAGGCTCAGAGAAGTCAAGTAAGTTGCCCAGGGTCACACAGCTTGGATGTGCCAGTGTCAGGATTCAGACCCTAGCCCTGGGGATCGGATTCCGACCACTACCCTATACCGCCTCTCCATTTATAGGTGTTTTTTACAGTGTCAAGCTTAGGAGACTCTCAGGAAACACTCCCTAGTGTTCTACTCCCAGATAGGACAGTAGGACCCCAGCCTAGGCTGACTGCTTGCCCACCATCTCCTGGGCCAAAACCAGGGGAGCTCTCTCTGTTGTAGATCCCTCAAATAAACTATTTGCAGAGGCTGGGGTTTCTAGATCCTTCCTTTCTCCTGCCAGCAGGGCAAGGAATCCTCCAAGGCACAGAGGTCCCTCTGAGCCCAGGGTCTCTCTGTTGGCTGTCTTCCTTCCATCTCCTCCCCACCCCCACCACTTTCTACTGCTTTCCTTTGAAGCCCCCCAAATGCCTTGCACAAGGACTTTCCAAAACCAGAAGTCGGAACGTATTTCAGATTTTGCCATTTCTGTTCTCTCATTATGAATATTCCCTTAGCCCTCCTCAGGGATTGCATGACTCAGGGAGACGTCAGAGACTCGTGTGGATGGATCTTTGCACATTTATGACCTGTATATAGTAATACTCATGCACCAATCAACTTCTTCTGTTCTCCCCTGCTATTACTCCTAAGATTAGTTTCACAGTCTAATGGAGGAATAGAGGATTTCATGCTTCATGCTTCCACATACCTGCATATATTCTTTTTCTTCTCAAAATGTGCTCATTCATCCCTATACCACGTAAGAAGCTCAGGGTCATCTTTGAGACTCAGCTCAAAGATCGTATCCTCTAGGTGGTGAATGTTCCTCACACCCTGCGGGTTCCCACAGAACTTTGACCTTATCTATTAGAGCACAACTCAAGATGCACTTGATGGGGAGCCTTGAAGATTCACTGCCTAGTTGAATCTTCCCCAGGGCTGACTCCTGAACATCTGGGTGCGCCCCTCACAGCTGGGGTGCGGGAGCATCCAGTGTTTGCTGACCAAACGATTGAACTTACTATGGTAAAAATTTAGGATTTAGAACCCTGGTCATCTCCCTCCATGTGCATTTCATTAGCCCTTGTCATTTTAGAAAGTACATGCTATTTAGAAGCCATAACGGCCTGATACCATCTGGACCTTTCGGTGCATTCCACATCATGTATACAACGCTATTTTCTGTGTGTGGTGGGGGTTTGAACCTCATCTTGCAGACGAGAACGTTGAGACTCAGTGAGGCTAAGCAATACACCCATGGCCCTCCACTGGAAACAAACCAATGGACGTGGTGGCCAATGGGAGCCATGGCATTCCATGGTCTCCCTCCCGGCCGGCTTGAAGTCCAGCTTGGCATTTTTTTTTTCTTCTTCTAGACTCCCCTCCTTCCACCCAAAGGGTTAATTCCAAGTCGTTCCCAGTGTATCCTATCTGAAAATGTTTATTTGTTCATACCACAGATTCCAGAACGGAAACAGCTCTCCATCCCAAAGATCGAGTCTCCAGAGGGTTACTATGAAGAGGCTGAACCGTACGACACATCCCTCAATGGTACATCCGGGGCCAGGGCTGGGGCTCAGAGGGGGCCACCACTTCCTGTACAGATGCCAGTGCTGGACGCAGAAGGCAGCCTCGGCTGCCGTTTCCAGAGAGCGTGGCCCGAATTGAGAACTGGCCACAGAGCCCTGGGCCTCTGCTCTGGTGGGGAGCTGAGCCGTCCTGCAGACCCAGGCTGCCTGTAAGGAGGGGCTTGGGATGGTCCACAATGAGCTGCTTTACTGTGTCTGATGCTTTCGGTCTTCCCACCCGGATGGTGCTTCAGCACAGAAATGTGATGGAGGAGAGGTGTGTTGGCCCAGAGACACTTAGAAGCAAGGGGAATGTGGTCAGGCTGAGCCAGAGCCCTTTCCAGGGTGGCTTTCACTGGACTCGTAGTTAACTGTGCTCACGCTGTATGCCAAGCATGCTTCTAGGAGTCAGGAACTCAGCAGAGTCCAGAGTCGCAGCCCTTAGACTCTGTGAGGAAAGACAGAAAACGAATAAACCTAGGTTGTGTCAGGGATGAGATAGTGTTAGGATGGAAAACACGGGGGCTGGGTTGGGGTGGGAGAGGGTGTTATTTTAGGTAGGGAGGGGCTCTCTGGTAGCATGACCTTGAGCTGATTCCTGAATGAAGTGGGCAGTGGGGGAGAGCAGAGACCTGCGGGAAGAATGTTCTAGACTGCGAAGCACATGCAGAGCTCCTGAAGCAGGAGGGCACTCGGCATGCTCTGGGAGCAGCAAGGAGGCCAGTGGAGCTGGAGCGAGGAGAGGGACAAAGGAGTCAGCCACAGGCCACGAGAAGGACTTTGGCTTCTCTCTGACAAGACCGCAAGCCATTGGGGGGTTTACTTAGTGACTGACCCAACTTTGGCATTCGGTGCTACAGGGGCAGGGCTCACGCTGGACCCCTCTGTCCTCAGCCAGTGGTGCTCAGCCTGGGCTAGTCAGATCAGAAATGCTCTTGGGGTAGGGATTCGATAGCGCAGAAAGGCCCTACAAATCCTGGAAGACAGAGAGAGTGTTGTGGCCCACGCGCCCAGGCAGCTGGACTCTGACCCTCTCACTCTGCCCTCCTCACCTCCCTCAGCTTCCTTCCTTGCTAAGTGGAAGGTCTTTGAAAGCATAAGCAGTTGGCAGATGTAAGAGGCAAGGGTCCTCGGTGGTAGGAATGAACTTGGCCGAAGAGGGTGTTGCTGGCTCCGTAAAGAGCAGGACCAGAGATCACAGGGGACCAGTCCCTTGGAGCCATGTTGGATCCTTCTCTTTCTTCACACCTTACCTACTGCCTCCGGTCGCAGGAACTGTGTGGGAGGTGAGGGCCTGTTTGGATTGAGGTTATTTTTTTCTGAGAGGCTGGCTTTGTGGGCAGACCTCCCTTCGCTTGAACCCACTGAGCATGTGGGATGTTGCCGAGTCACCGGCGGGGCCGTGATTGCAGACCAAAGCTGAGGGTGTGGCACTGCTGTCTAGATGCATCTGGAAGGTGGAAGCCGTGAGTCACCACGGCGGGTACCTCCATGCGTCTTAGACCCTGCTCTCCCGGGTGTGGCCCGTGCCAGCCGGGGCCTGCATCCCAGACGCTCCCGGGGGCCTGTTTGTGGGGCAGGCGCTTCATCTTGTAAACAAGTGGGCTCCAGCTTCTCGGCGTTTGTGTCGGCCGTGAATTGGTGTTGGTTTTAGCCAGGACTGGGGCGCCACTGTGAGGACAGACTGCAGCCAGCAACTAGGGAGTTGGGAGCTGTCTGCTGCCTTCGTCTCCTGCCAGGACGAGGACCGAGGACGACCCGAGACTTGGTCCCACGTGCCACCAAGGGAGGGCTTCACCCGCATTATCAGCTGGCCTGCCCCTAGTTCCTGCTTGTCGCCCCCACGGCTGTTTGAGCAGTGAGACGGGCAGGTCATGGCAGGAGGAATGGTCGTCGGCCACCAGCGATCTGTAGACTTCCCACAGGAGACCAGTTGTCTGGGTGCTTGTCCTGCTTTCTCAGCGCTGTCCCTGCACTGCTCTCAAGGGTCAGGCCCTTCTCTCCGAGTGAAAGTTTAATCAGCGCCCTGGTGGCCTGTGCAGATGGGAGGGCTGGTCCTGCTTGCACGAGAGGTCAGCTACTCGGCCATGAGGTCTCGTGCTGGGGTCATGGCAGCTCCTGGAACAAATAACCTCCCTTGCGGTGTATAGCGACACAGCACGAATCTCTGTCTCACGAACAGTTCGGCGTGGGTATTACTGGTCGGTGGGGAGTTTAGGCTCCTTCCAGTGTGGGCTCGGCCACCCTGTAAGGCCACAGAATCCTCTGCAGAGAGCGAGCGGAGAACCCCCATGTGCTTCTTAAAAGTACCAGCCTGAAGTGACTTTTACCCACATTGTGTTGGCGACGAGTAGTTACATGGTCATCTCTGGAGGGGAAGGGGCTGGGAAAAGATGTCCGTGATGGGGCTGGGGCCTGTCCTGAGAGGCCCATGCTTCCGGTGGACAGGCAGCCATGTGGCCACATCTGGGTCACTCTGTGTCTCTGCACTTGGGTCTGGTCTTCTCTTCATCTTGACTCTCTCCATCTCGCCTTTCTCCTGTGCTTCTGCATCTCACACAGGTCATTCTGGCGGATTTTCCCCCACTGGAGTCCCCAGATGGGTGCAGGTGCCTGAAGGAGTCATTTACGCCACGATCACCTTGGGTACTGCTTGTCCCCAGAGCTGGAATGCCGGTGATTCTGTGCCTGCTGCCGGGCTCTCAGAGCTCGGATGCATGCCCGAGGGCGGCCTCTGACCTCTTCCCCGCCCTGTGCATGGGTCCTGCATGTGCACCCCATGTATCACCCTTCCAGAAGGAGGGACTCCCTCTGCCTTCCACAGACCCCTCCAGCGGCATCCGAATGCATGGGCGAAGGACCAGGGCGCTGCACGGTGGTTCTGCCCTCTGTTCCCAAAGACCTCCAGCAGCACACAGTGGGGGGCGGTCCTCCCAGGGATGCAGAAAGGGGATGGAATTACCTGAGCCTCCTGCCTATCACTCCTGTTCATCCTGTCACCCCTGGAAGCCATGTGTCTGTCCTACATTCATGGCCCTGCTATGATCGCTCTTAGAGATAAATGACAAAATGACAATATATTCGCCCAGGCTTCCCCTAAGCTACTCCAGGTAGTTTGATGTACTGTGATTTGCTGGTTCTTCTCGGCTTCCCCATAGCCCCCTGGAGGTGGATGGGGAGGTGTTAGAATTCTCCACGGACCAACCCCAGAAGCACAGACAGTGGGGGGATTTGGTCAACTTCTTCCTGCTAAACTCTGTGACCTCCCTCTATTAATTGTTGCCGCAGAAGGAAGCATCCTGATGACACTGCATCGTTCTTCTTATTTCCCTTATTGTATAGACTATACCATACTGACAATGAGGACTTTCGTTTTTTAATAAAATCCCCCTGCTCCTGTCACTGGATCAGATCAGCTTTCTTGAGTTAGTCCTGTTGCCTCTCGGCACTGATCCTTCCACACGTAGAATTTTAACTGTGCCTCCTCACTTACCATCGTATTTATTGAGCTACAGACTAGTGTTCAGAGTTCCCAGGGATCATGGTTGCCCGGCCTACTTCTAAGCGGGTGCATCACACTTTTCCCGCTCTCCTGCCGCTGACTGTAAATGGCACTGGAATGAATATCTTGACGCATGTAGCCTCCCTCCTCCCTTCTCTGGTTTCCTAGGATCTAGGGTAATTGGGTCAAAGGGTATGGGTGTTTCTATGGCTCTCACAGCAACAGGCTGCCAGAGTGTTTTCTGAGAGGCGTGTGTGCATTTCCGTTGCTACCAGCAACGGGAGAGTTCAGGTCTCCCATTGGCTACGCCCCTCCTCCCCATCTTTGCTTATTTCATGGGTGTGAGATTAGGAGTTTGCGCAACTTTTTTGTTAAGCTGAGAAGGGGAGCACTACCACACTGCTGTTAAAGAAAGCTGGTTGTTAGACAAAGTAAGACACATTTTCTTTGGCCCTGTAGCTAGGATAACCGTGGCAGTGGCCTCGTTCTGGTCTGTATTCTAAGTCAAATGTGGTCTGTCTTCCGAGGGCAGAGAGTAGAAGGGGCTTCTGCGGAAGGGAAGGGTAAGGGCCCATGGGCTGACTTTTTTCTGAAGGGGATCGGAGGGGAGGATAGAGGAGGTACATTCACCCTGGCTCCAGGGGATGACAGAACGAGTCTGTAGAAGTTACAGGGAAGTACATGGTGGCCTGACTTCCCAGTCATAGAAGGAAGTAGCCAGTTGGCCAGGACGTAGTGAGCTCCCCATCCAGAGGGAATTCAAGTGGAGGCTGAAGCAGCAGCAAGGTTCCCACAGACAGGATTCCTGTGTTGAGCCAGGGGGGTTGGACCAGGGATCCTGAGGTTCTCTTTTCTCCATGTCCTGCTTTTCGGGGTTTTCCTGATTTACTTTTTTCTTCACCTAGTTTTGCTTGGGCTTGAATAGCAGAATGGGGCCTGGAGAACAGAGCGACTCTCCCAGGGTACGGTGGCAGGGGGGCGGCAGGGAACAGAAACTGAGGCATGGGAAGCATGCACAGAACTGAATACGGTTTGTGCTTGGTGAGCTTTGGGATCCTCTTGAACAGAACAAATGCATGGGGTTGGCTGGTCGCCGGAGGTGGAGGAAGCGTTGGAGGCAGAAACCAGCACAAGGGGCTGTCGGTGCTGGGAGGTGTGCAGGGGGAGGGAGAGCGAGCGGAGTCTGGGGAGGCTGGAGTGGGTTGGGAAAAGGGCTGTGACCAAGGCGGACAGCCGCCTTCCCCTCAGAGCCATTTCCTGCTGTGGTTTATCCCACCCTAAGAAACTGCAGCCCCTCCCTCAGGGACAAAACCAGGGATGGAGGCGGCCCCGCTATCGGGGGCCTGCCACGTGCCCAGCTCGGGCTCGGACGGCGGCCCTTCCGCTGGCCCCTTAGAATGCCCGGGTGCCAGGCTACCCCCACTGCCAAATCCCTCAGGTGAGGATATGGAGGCCCCCAGGCAGGACGGTCGCCTGTGGGCAGTGTCTTGTCAGAGGTTTCTGTGGAGCCTGGGATGACAGATTTGAGCAGGAAAAGGGAGAGACTCCTGGTTTGGGTGATTTGTGTCTGTGGCCAGGAAGGACATCCAAGAAGCTTCACTGAGGGGGCTTGGGGGCCGGGCCTGCCCAGGTCTGTGGCTGGTGGCTGTCAGGCTGGTTCAAGGGCACAGAGAGCCGGCGGGGGGCGGGGATTGTGGCCTGGAGGCCCCTGGCTGCTCTCCCTCCTGGACCAAGGTTCCCCTGCCCAGCGGGGCCCTGACCGCATGGGTCTTCCTTGCAGAGGACGGAGAGGCTGTGAGCAGCTCCTACGAGTCCTACGATGAAGAGGAAAACAGCAAGGGCAAGTCGGCCCCGTACCAGTGGCCCTCGCCTGAGGCCAGCATCGAGCTGATGCGCGACGCCCGCATCTGTGCCTTCCTGTGGCGTAAGAAGTGGCTGGGGCAGTGGGCCAAGCAGCTCTGCGTCATCAAAGACACCAGGCTCCTGGTCAGTTGGGCTCCTGTGGTGTTCCCGTCTTCTCTCTCTGCGGGGGGTCGGGAAGATGGACACTGATACCAGGTGGTTGGAGCCTTTTCTCTCTGGAGGCTTTCTCTCCTCCTAACTTGAAATCGTGTGCCGGACATCTTGTGCAGGGGTGAATATGCTCCTTCACCTAGAAAGTCTAATGGTTTTCCTAGGACTCTGCCAGGGGGCTGGGATCACCACCCCCGGCCCCCAGTCCAGCCGCATAGACGCGGTTTCCGGGGATCTTGTCCCCTGGTCGGAGGGTTCATTCTTCCTCACATGCCAACCCCTAGCCATTTGGGGCGGAGCCTGCTGCCCGGTCAGGAGTCCCCCTGGCCTCGGTTCTGGCCGCTGCATTCACCTGTTGCGATGTTAGAATCTGAGGCATTGTCTCAAGTCACGGTATTCTGGATCACTGATTAGAAGACAAAACCCATAAGGGAAACGGAAGATATTACTCTGACCACAGCCCTATTTCCTGTTATTCTAAATTACAATTCAGTTTTATGTCCTAACTTGAAGTTCCTCGGAATCATTATGAGCACGTTTTCTTCCCAGGTCACATCACGCTCTGCGCAGATGTTCTTTCTGGGAATCCCGTTCCACAGCCCTGTGAGGGCCTGCTTTAGACCGTGACAAACAGGGGCCAAGTATTTTGTCTGAGAGGGGAAGCAGGTCCCTTTCTTTTCTTGCTACAAATCATCTTCCTAACTAAGCAGCTAATGAGCTTGGCCTTCATTCCCTCTGCACCCCTTCCTGAGGGTGTTAAGGGAGAAACATGCACAGGGGGTCCCGCTGTGCCACTGACCGTTCTCTGCAGAGCCCAGCCAGGCCTGGCACCCCTGGCGAGCGGCACAGCATCTCTCTTCCCTTCTAGTGCTACAAATCCTCCAAGGACCACAGCCCGCAGCTGGACGTGAACTTGCTGGGCAGCAGCGTCATCCACAAGGAGAAGCAAGTGCGGAAGAAGGAGCACAAGTTGAAGATCACGCCAATGAACGCCGATGTGATCGTGCTAGGCCTGCAGAGCAGGGACCAAGCGGAGCAGTGGCTCAGGGTGAGGGCGGTGCCGGGCTGCCAGGGACACAAGCCTGCTCCCCTGCGGGGCTCCCAGGGGCTCCTCAGTTCCTGCGCCCTGGCTTTTTTCTAAAAGGGATGACTGTTGTCAAGGGTAAAGGATCTCCAGTCCTTCAACTTCTCAGGGCTCCTGTGTTCTAAGTGGTAGCAGTCAGTCCTGACGAAAGGATCACAGCACCCTGTGCTATGCCTGGACTTGGGCTCTAGCTGAGACTCATTTGCCCTTTGGTTGCTGGAGGGGCATCGCCAGCCTCCTTATTAAAGACGCCTAGACAGCAGGGTCACCGGGAAAGCACTTACCAAGGGCCGTGCACTTGGAGCAAACAACCCACCTGACCGCACCGGGCGTAGCTGCACAATGTTGGTATCACCATTTTACAGGGGTGCTGATTAGAGCTCAGACAGAGGAGGTGACTAATCAAGGTCACCTGGCAAGGGAGTGGCAGCATCAGGTTTCAAACCCACAACTGTTGGGCCGCAGTCCTGTGTGTCCTGCCATCACACATGCAGATGGTCAGGTCTGCCCGCAGGTACGTGGCACAGCCCCAGGGATGACAAAGCCTGGTGTGCCCCGTGTTAAATATAAGCTTGACCAGAAGGTATAAGGTTTACACCAAGAAGGGGCCCCTGGTTGCAGAGGGATCTCCAAAGCCAGCAGGATCTGCCCTCTCTCCCTATCCACCTGTGTGTACGTACGTGTACTTCCCAGCCTGGTCCTCTGACTGCTCAGACCCACCTGTCCTTCCTCTGACCGCTAGTCCCCCTCCCTGACTCACATGCCCTCATCCTGAGACCCCTGCTGCTGGTTTCAAAGACAAGAACGCCCTCAGGAGGCCCAGCCTCCCCGTCGGCCCGCACAGAGTCCTTTTCCTCCCTGCTCAGATGAGCACAGAGGCGGGCCCGGCTGCCAGGGTCTGACTCCGAGAAGCTGCACACTCTTGCGGTTCGGTAGGACTGGTGAGCCTGTGTGGTGGGCTCTCACCATCTACGCATATCTGTTTCATTAAACCTACCTCCCTTCCCTGGCCTCCGTGTCCCAGCTCTACAGAGTGGGACAGGTAGATGGCCATGGGTGGGAAATGCTAAGCATGGGACAAGGACCCCAGAAAAGGAAAGCACGGGCGGGACTCTCCCAGAGAAGACCTCAAGCCTGGATTCCAGGCTTTGCGTGCTTCCCCCGCCTAGGGTGTCCACGTATCTAGGCCCCAGCTCATGAGGGTGGTACCTTCACACATGAGTCCTCACAGCGCCCCCCCGCCCGCCCCGGCACAGGTGTGGCCCCATCCTACAGGCGTGGTGACGGCAGCGTAGGCCCAGGGTCACGCAGCTAGTGGACTGACTTCCCACAGCTCCATGTTGCGTGTTTGGTCCACCATGTGGACCGAGGTCCCGACCTGGAGTCCATCTAAGAAGTTAGACCTGTCTTATGTTTCCCTATCTTCATAGCCATTCTTCCTTTGCTTCTTTGGCTTTTCTACCTTTGACCTTGTTTCCATAAACTGCTCTAAGCAAAGACTGAAAAAGGAGGGTCTTTGAAAGTACTCAGCTTGCTGAGTCCCAAGGGCTCTGGATGGGCAGTGCGCGTGTGTGCGTGTATGGCTGTGGCTGTGGCTGCCCGGGGTTGTTACCCTCTGCCTAGTGTGGCCAGAGCTTCCTCTGACCTGTGGGCCCCCAGCCCAGGCCTCCGGGTGCCAGTGAAAAGGCTCCTTCTGGAGGAGGGTGGGGTGGACCATGACAGGCAAGTCTGGAGAGCCAGTCCTGGCCCCAGGCAGTTGGCAGGCCTACTTCCCGAGCAGTGGGAGGCTCTCCACAGGAAGCTCCATGGCCCCCGAAAAGCTGGGGGGCGGGGGCTTGGCTGATGCAGTTCTTCATCATACCCACAGCTGAACAGCCATCCCTGCCCAGGATGAGGGCAAGGAGAGGCCTCGCAGAGCTGAGGGCTGCAGCTTTGGCCGTCTTTTGGCTTTGCTGTAAAGCAACCCCCCGCCCCGCCCTGCCCACCACCAGAGCATGTGGGGGTCGGCGGGAGAGGGGGCCGAAGGGACAAGCCTCCCCCTCTGCAGCCTGCCCAGTTCCAGGCCAGGTGCTGGGGGTGGGAGGGAGAGTCGCTGTTCCTTGGAAAGTGTGCATCCCCCTCTCTCTCACCTCCATCCACTTCCGCTGACCGCGAGGGGCTCTCGCTTCCGTCTGGCTGTGAGTCCAGGCCTGAAGGGCCTCCGCGGATGGCTTCTCTCTCCCGTCAGGTCATCCAGGAGGTGAGTGGCCTGCCCTCAGAAGGAGCGTCCGAGGGAAATCAGTACAGCCCAGATGCCCAGCGCCTGAACTGTCAGAAAGTAAGCCTCTATCCTGCCTGGAAGAGAGTTCAGTTCTCCATCTTCTCTGTAAAAATTAGAAGTACGAGACTGAGATCTTTGCTTTTGCACTTCAGCCCAGTGAGTAAGAAACGTACAATGCGTGGATTAGCCCAGTAGCTTCAGGTTGGCAGAAAAACTGATGACGTTGATATTCTCTTGCTTGGGTGCAGGAAGCTTTATTGGAACCAAGGTCAGCGTGCCCTCCATTCTTAAGCAGGGAAATTCATGCTATGAGACTCTTCTTTCTCATTTACTCCTGGTAAAGCTTCGGGGCTGGGAGACTGTCCCCATGTTGATTCCAACCAAAGGGTTCTGTTGCCCATTTGCATGGAGCCCTGGGGCCGGGGGCTAGCGGAGGGGAGGGCTGACCCCTATGGCTTCGCATGCCAGGTCCCAGGTATCTGTAAACAGGCGCCCTGAAGCCTGGGAGTGCACAGAGCAGAGTGTCACTGTGCCTCACCCTGGGCTCCCAGGCCCCGGCAGGGAAGAAGGCAGAGGGTACGTAGATGTCTCAAGTAGGGAGGAGGAGGTGTTCCGTTCTTCGGGAAGGCACAGGTCATCCCTCATGGAGTTCCCTGGCCAGGTATAGAAGTCGAGCCCCCGCCTAAGCCCAGTCCCATGGGTTGGGAGTCCCTCGGCGTGTTTCCCAGAGGTCTGGACAAAGTCGTTCTCTGAGAGAAGCTTGGTTGGAATGTTCTGAGTGCTTCACATTCTTCACAACAGCCACCACACCCTTCTAGAAACTCACAAGTCCCCTAACAGCCCTGGGGATGTAGACAGGGATATTATCCATATTTAAACACATGCCCAGCAGGGCCCAGAGAGGGTTATAAGTGGGGCACCTGGTCTGGATGGAGGGTGCTCCAGCCAGGGCTCAAATCATGGTCTGACCCTGTGTAGACAAGCTGGCCTTCCTCTGAAGCCTGCTATGTTCATAGTGCTGTCAGTTCTTAAAAGCCTTCCTCATGCTCAGGTGGTTCCCAGCCTGACGGTCAGCTTCAGCTGGGGGGTCAACTCTAAGGCCACCCTGGGGCTGGCTACAGGCTGCTCTTACATCAGGTTGAGTAGGCATCTTGAGAACTTGTGAACTTGGATGTGTGGTGGCCCAAAGAAGAGGGTCGTCTCTGGATGGGGCAGGGAAAGGGAAGGTGAAGGCAGGTCCCCCAGAGAGCCCGAGGGAACCCTGGCCGATGTGCCATCAGTGGCCTGGACTCCGTGGTGACCCCTAGCCTACGTCCAAAAGCTATCTCTTAGTTTTCTTTATTGTGACCCCTGAGGTAACCATTCCCAGACAAGATCACCCACTTGTCTCCCTCTTTTCCACAGCTAGATATAACGGAGAAGTACCTGTCAGCCTCGGAATATGGAAGCTCCGTAGATGGCCACCCTGAGGTCCCAGAGGCCAAAGATGGTACCAGCGCTTGTGGCCCTCAGCCTCAGCTTGGGAGGGGGGTGGTGTCCCAGGCTCTGAGACGTGGCTGTCTGGCTCAACCCTCATGGGTTGTAACAGCTGCTTGCAACATGCCTCCAACTTATAAACTGCTTGGAAATAACACAGCTGATAAACCCAAGAGAAAGGGAGAGATGAACAAATCGCGGTCAAGTTTTATGAATTGCCGGGGGGGCAGAATAGTCTTGCATCTCTTCTTGTTTGCTGATCCTAGACCCAGTCTATTTGAGCCAGTACAGTCTGTGAAGATTCTCAAATGCTGACCTAGTCTATAAGAGGAGTTGGTGTGGGGCGCTTCGTGGCTCAGTCAGTTGAGCATCCAACTCGATTTTGGTTCAGGTCATGATCTCAGGGTCGTGGGATCGAGCCTCACACTGGGCTCCCCGCTCAGTGGGAAATCTGCTTGAGATTCTCCCTCTCCCTCTGCCCTTCCTGTCTGTGCTGTCTCCCAAATAAATGTATCTTTTTAAAAACAATAGAAATTATCTTTTTAAAAAATGGAGTCGGTGTCCCCCTCGAGTGTGTGATTCTAGGGATACGTGACTGGCCTGCGGCTCCCGGTCTCGGGGGCGGACATGTTTACGTGCGCATGCGCGCGCGCGCGGGGCGGGGCAGAGGCGGCGGGAACGGTGTGCGGTCCCCGCTCTTCCTCGCGGCGTGTCGTTGGGCTGCGTGCAGTGCTGACAGGTTTTTCTCTCATCTCGACAGTCAAGAAGAAATCTTCCCCTGGCCTCAAACTGAGCAACCTAATGAATCTGGGCAGGAAGAAATCTACCTCGCTGGAGCCTCCGGACAGGTCCCTCGAGACAGCCAGTAAGAACCGTCGCCTCATGCGGGACCCCGCGGGCTCCCCCACTGGGCGGGAGCCGGCCCCCGGGAAGGCGGCTCGGACAGCGCCCGCGGCGGGTTTAGGGCTTGCTTTAAGCATCTCTGGGGCCGGCAGCCCTGCGGCTCCCGTTTCTGGCCGCCTTCCCTGCGGGTGGTTCATTACGCCTCACGGGCCCTAGTCTTGCTGCAGTGCTGGCTCCTTTGTGCAAGTGACTGGTCCCGGACCGCCGTCCTCCCCGTGGTCTTTCAACAGTTACGTTCCTTTGATCAGTCTTGAAGGAGCATGGCGAGCAGCGCCAGGGAAGGGGGACCAGGCAGAGGGAGAGCACAGTCCGGAGCGCTCACAGCCCAAGCGCCATGGTGGCTTCACACCCTGAAGCCACACGCTGTGTCTCCGCAGTAGCTGTAAGCACTCGGGGCTGGAACCTTTCCTACCCCGAGGTCAGAGGGGGCTTCCTGGACCTGAGCCCTGAAGGTCGGGCAGGAGCTGAGTGGGCTGAGGTGGCGTTGCCCCCCCACCCCACCCCGCCCCCCAGGCAGGAGCTAGGACTCAGATGGGGACAGTGAGAACCGTTAAGGGGACGACAGCAGCCCACGTTGCTGGTACAGAGGGTGTGTCTGGGTGCCGCTTGGCTCACAGAGGTCATCTCTACTGCCCTCATTCTGTCCTGAGGAAACTGAGGCCTTTCCCAGAAAATACCCCGGGGGGAGCCTCTGTCCGGGCCCCCAACCTGGGACTCGTGGCTCAGAGCTCTTCCCGGGGCCCGAAGGCTGACACTGTCCACCTTGAGGCCTTTTCCTCCTCCTCGTGGAACCCGTGTTCCAGCCTTGGGCTCCTTTCCCGAGTCCCAGCCCAGTTCTGGTTTTGGAGGCCAGCAGGGTGGGTGGGTGGAATGGGAAGTCAGCAGATGGGGCTTCCCCTTTGGAGCCCCTTGCTTCTCTGGCCAGGACACCGGGGTTGTGACCCAGCTCTGCCGGCCCCTGTCTGCAGCCTCGGGGGGCACACTGGCACAGAAAGCTGGCCTCAGTGAGTCGCTGTGAGATGTGGCTGGACTGGTGCTGAAAGCCTCTCCAGCAGAGAAGCGTGCTCCTGTCCCCTGTGGCTAGGGAAGGGTGACAGAGAACATAGTTGCTCTCCTTCCCAAGACTTGGCATCTGCGCTCCCTGCTTTCTTGACCCAGAGTTCTCTTCGGTCCAGAGAACTGTGATGGGCAAGTGGGGTACTTGCCTGGATGAGCCAGAATTCCTAGGTCTTCGGCTTGAATTCTTCTACTGCGCTCCTGTTCGTGTGGCTCTGAGAAACTCATGATCCCCGCTGTATGTCCAGCACTGGGTGGGTGGGAACGTGGCCGCGCACCGTGACCTGTTGCATGGCTTCGTACCCTGGGCACCGGAGGGGAAGGTGGCAAGTTCCTGCCCTGGATAAGCTCAGTGTCTGCTGGGGGAGCTGACATGGAAGCGGGTCTCAACTGTTCTGGGATCCAGAGGTTCCAAAGCGAGGCCAGGCGGGGCGTGCAGGACCCAGGGAGGGTCAAGTAAGTCTAGCTGCATTTAGGTGGATGAGAGAGAGCCGGCCAACGGGAGGAGGGCTTTGCAGGCTGAGGCTGAGTGACCAGGTGATGGAAAGGCCATGTGTCAGGGATGCTGAGGAAGCTAAGGCTCTAAGAGGCTGGGGAGCTGACTGCACCTGCAGCGGGGCGACCCCGGCTGGGGACCTGGCTGCACGTGGCCTAAGTGACCAGGGCGGGGAAGGCTGCTTCCAGCGGGGCATGAGGCTGGGGAGCCCTGTCCTGCACATATACCCACCCAGCCAGCCTGCTCTGGCCAACGACACGACTCCCTCCCCTCCGGCCAGACCTAGTCGGAAATGCAGCGGAGCCGTGCCGTCCACTTTCCAAGGGTCTGGCCGCACACACAGAGGCAGGGCAAAGAATGTGCTGAGATCCCCAGCCTCCTTGAAGTGAGAGCGCTCCTCGGGCAAAGCGTGACAGGTCTGGGAACGGAGATTCTGGTGAAGATTCTGGGAGGCCCAGACGTGGCGGCAGCCGTGGATGCCCTTGTCCCCTCCTGCAGGTTACCTGAACGTGCTGGTGAACAGCCAGTGGAAGTCACGCTGGTGCTCCGTCAGGGACAGTCACCTGCATTTCTACCAGGACCGGAACCGGAGCAAGGTGGCCCAGCAGCCCCTCAGCCTGGTGGGCTGTGAGGTGGTCCCAGACCCAAGCCCTGACCACCTGTACTCCTTCCGCATCCTCCACCGCGGCGAGGAGCTGGCCAAGCTCGAGGTACTGCCAAGCCTGTGGGGGGAGGCCGGGTGCGGGGGTCCGGGCTGTTGGCTGCGCTTCGCAGACCGTCATCCTACAGTCAGAGAGAGGCAGTGTAGCTCTGCATTTTTTTGAGTTTTTTTTAATTCTCTTGCATTTTACTTCTTTGCATTTAAAAAAAAAATTTCCATTCCCTTTCTGACCTCAGAGCGGTTGGGTTATAGGAAAGGGACAATGAGCTACTTCCTGCACTGAGGGCAGGAGGAGTATTTATAACTCCCTGAGCTGCTTGAAAAACCTTCTGGGGATTCACAGTGGGTTTGACCTGGTTTGTGTATCACCAGATGGGGCCCCGTACATAGAGACCATGATTGTTAGGGCTTATCTGGGGGAAGAATGAGGTTTGTGATACAGTGATGTTTCTCCCACTCCCCACCCTCTGTTTGATGTTACATTTACAAAAATAAGAGGTGACCTAATGCCTTGCACTGAGCAGGGGCAGGCCTGAGCCAGAGTTCCTGACATGCGGGGAAGCACCCTCCCTGGTTCACCCCTGTTCCTTCACCTGGTCCTTTCCCCACTGGGGGTCTTCCTCCAAATTGTGCTCCAATACTGCCCTCTGGTGGCTCAAAGCTCCGCATTCCAGGTGCTTCCCGAAGGGGAACCCGGGACAAGCTTGTGTTCGTCCACCCAGCTGTCCTGTAGACAGATACCTACTCAGTACAGTAATGTACTGAGTGTGAGACTGAGATGTTATTCAACGAATTACCCAGTGGATGACTTAGTTACAGCTGCTGGAAAGCCATGGGGTGGGTGCTGTGAACTGTGGAAAAGCCCCACGTGCTTGGGGGTGGGCGTGTGTGATGAGGGCTGGGAGGGTTGATCCTCAGAGCGAGGGGGCGCCCTGGAGGGTTTCAGGGGACGGCGGCTTGCTCAGCTTGTGATTGCGAGATGCTTCCTCCAGCTGCTGGGCAGGGGAAGGGATGGGAGGGCCACAAGAAGGGCCACGCTGAGACCAGTAAGGAGGCGGTCACAGTTGCCCAGAGCAGGGAGGGTGGTGGCTGGAGCTAAGGGTGCCCACGTAAAGCTGATGGAAACGCCCGCTGGAGAAGGAACAGGAGACGAAAAGCAGCTCGGTGTCCGGCTCCGCTCACAGCTCTTCGTCAGATGCCTCTCTGACAAAGACCACGGAGTAATGAGGCAGGACAGCTGAGTCGTGTCAGGGCAGCGAGCAGCTCTCCTCGTGAAAGTAAACCTGGAGTCTTCATAGAATTCGCAATGTTTTCTCACTAAAAAGGCAAGAAAGAGTTGGCATTTTAATAGATACCCTTAGACTGTGTTGTCCCCTGGAAGAAAACAGGCTCCAGCTTCACCAGGATTTACTTCCTTATTTATCAGAGCCAGCTGACTCGGTGTCAGGTACTTAAGATACCCTTTATCCTAAGACTGGCTTTATTGAAACTGTAAACAAAAATAAGTTTGAACTAGGGATCCGGTCTTGTATATACCGATTAGGGTGATAGACTGCCACGTGATAGTTTATAAAATAGAGGCGTCAGCCTCAAATGCGTGCTCTCCGGGCTCATTAGCCTTCTAGAAATACGTGTCTGTGAATCACATTTGGTACTTGGGACAGATGTTCACAGCATCAGCAAAGGGGCAGCAAGGTATCCCCAGGGGCAGAAAATGTTTGGAGGCACAGGGATGAGATAAGCTAGTGACAATGAGGGCACGTGGCCCCCGCCTCTGTCCGAGGCCTGGGCATCGGGGGCAGGGGTGCTGCTGGCCTGGCCGGGAGGGCTGGGCACCAGACGGCACACTCCAGCTCTGCCCATGTCCCTCTCGGCCTCCTCCAGGCCAAGTCTTCTGAGGAAATGGGCCACTGGCTAGGCCTCCTGCTCTCTGAGTCAGGCTCCAAGACAGACCCGGAAGAATTCACCTACGACTACGTGGATGCCGACAGGGTGTCCTGTATCGTCAGTGCGGCCAAAACCTCTCTGCTGTGAGTGTTACGGGGCTCTGCTGCATCGCCCCCTCCCATTCCCAGCCACACTTCAAGACGTGGGCCCAGGCTGGCCTCCCGTGGCCTGTTCCGTCATTGCAGGGTGGCAGCTGAGAACCCAGGGTCAGCAGCGGGAGGCCCGGGGCCCGGGAGCAGCGAGGAGCTGAGCCAGGCCTGGGGGTGGGGGGCGCACGGCACCCTCGTCCTGGTGGACGCTCTCCAACTCCTTACGGCAGAGTTGGTGCCTTTCCTGACCATCCACTTTCCTTACTGCTCCCCCGAGGAGTCCTAGCCCACTCTGGAATATGGGGTCTATACTTCTGCTTTCCAGGCAAGCGGACTGGGCTTGGGGAGAAGCGCTCCTGGGTTAGGGTGGTCGGGGGGAGCTCTCATGGAAGCTGGCCGAGCCGCCGTAGTGGGATCCGTTTTCCTGTGTACAAAACCAGGGAAGTGCCTGGGCTGGGCTGCCCAAGTGCATCGTGATGACATGAGGAAGGAGGTCCTAAAAGGGAGGAATCCGGGTGAGAAGGCAGTAGGATCCGGAGAGGTGGGGTTTGGGGCAAGGGAAGTCGGTTTTCCTGGAAGAGAAATTCAGAACTGGGAGGTCCAGTAAGGAGGGCCTGGGAAGAGAGGGAGGAGATCTCCCTAAACAAAGTTGAAAATGAGGTCGATGCCAGTGCCCAGGTCCCCTTGCACAGCCTGCAGCTCCTGCCGCACCTCCTGTTGTCACGACTCCCCGGAGAATGGTGGCTTTCACCGCCCTGTCCTCCTCCCCTTCTCGATATGTCTTGCCGGGTCTTCCAGACTGATGCAGAGGAAGTTCTCGGAGCCGAACACTTACATCGACGGCCTGCCCAGACAGGACCACCAGGAGATGCTGTATGACGACGTGGAGACGTCGGAGCTGATGGCTGTGGTAAGGACCCAGGCTGGGCAGCGACCTGGGCTGTCCCGTCCTCCCCTCACCAAACCTCGATGCCAGAGATTGGCAGATTGTCCCTAAGACGGGTGGATTCCAAGTCACCTGCAGGGTGCAGGAACCTAGTGCAACAAGGCCATCCTGTGTGCAGTGCACCTGGCTTGGGGACTTGTCTAGCTCAAACACTTGGTGAACCAGCCCGGGCAGGGTGAGGGGTGGGAGGAGTCAGGATCAGGAACAGCAACACCATTAACCTTTGAGGCCCAAACTGATACTGAACAATCATAGTGACAGCAGGTTCCATTTACGGAACTGTGTGCCGTGCTAAGAGCGTCTGTGGCATTGTCTCATTTAATCCTCACCGCCCCACAAGGACGTGCACTAGTCTCTTCTCTACAGATCAAGACATGAGATTCAGGAAGAGTAAATACTATGTCCTGGGTCTCCCACCTCCTGAATGGCAAACCCAGGACTTGAACCCTGGCTTTTTAAGTCCAGCTCAATGGAAGCTTCCCCAGGAGGGGCGGGGGGTCCCTGTGAACTCCAGCGTGGGGCACGGACAGGAGACAGGTCTGGCGCCCCCTCCACAGCCCAGCGGGCAGAGGCGAAGGTGAAAGCCACCTGACTGTCTCTTCTCTGCAGGTGGAAACTCCTGAGGAAGCTGCCCCTGTGACAGAGGCCCTGGGCGAGTCCCAGCCCGACCGAGTGTACCTGGACCTCACACCTGTCAAGTCCTTTCTGCACAGCTCCGGCGGTGCACAGGCTCGGGCCCAGTCCCCGTCACCATCCCACCTGGACCCCCCAGCCGAGACTCTCCCTGTGGACCCGGGCCCTGCCCCAGATGAGCCCCTGGCAGAGTCTCCAGAGAACCCCGAGTTGCAGGTAAGGCTGTCCCCCAGCAGGTAGGCTGGCCTCGCCTTCGCAGCCCCTGGGCCAGCTAAGCCATGTTTGCTTTCTCCCAAATCAGACGCCGCGGCAGGAGAGTCCAGAGCCCCAGGAGCTTTCCCCGAGAACCACAACAGTCAAAGTCCAGACTGAACAGAAAATCTCCTTCCCATCGAGCTGCTCCGACACTGCGGCCGTCACCCCGGCTGGGGCCAGCCCACCTGTGAAGGACAGGTTGAGGGTGACCACAGCAGGTGCCTGTGGTAGATAAGAGTTGAATGTTTTGGAAATGGCTTTGAGAAGTTAGTCCAGCTCCCTCCCTTTCAGACGCAGAAATAGAGGTTCAGAGAGGTGAAGAGACCTGCCCAATTTCCTTGTCTGTCCCTGCCAGGCTGGCCTGGTGTTCAGCTCTGACCCACTGCCAGAGCTTCGGGTTGTGTCTGAGCCTTGGCCCCGGGGGGAGGTGGGGGTGGGGCGGGGGGTGTGTTGGGACTGCCCTTGTGTCCCAGCCTGGCTGACCTGGGGCTTCTCCTCTCTGGGTCCATAGAGATCAAGCTTGGCAAGAATAGGACAGAAGCCGAGGTAAAGCGGTACACAGAGGAGAAAGAGAGGCTGGAGAAGAAGAAGGAAGAAATCCGGGGGCACCTGGCTCAACTCCGGAAAGAGAAACGGGAGCTCAGAGAGACCGTGTTAAAATGCACAGGTGAGGGGCCTCCCAGGTGGAAAGGGGCAGTCGGGGGGCTTGGGCTCTCCGCAGGAAGAATCCGGATCTGTGCCCCTGCGTGCGGCCCATTAGCCTTCGCCCCGTCCATCTGTGGTGCAGGTTGGTGCTCCCCTGCCCAGCATCCCCAGTCTTCATTTCGTTGAAGTGAACAAAGATTTATGACACTTGGAAAGAAATCAGAGTCCGTGTAGCTTATTTTCCAGATCCTTCCCCCATCACTCAGCAGCCATCTCCTAGAAGAAACTTGATTTTTAGGGGATCCTCTGAAGCACTTACCTCATTTTCATAGAGTCCATCTCAGTGCTTATTTAATATGTAAATTACAAAGTTGCACCCACACGTGCAAGTGGCGGCAGCAGGTTTGGGGACAACCCCAGCCGATTCCTTGGAAGCTTCGAACATGATTGTGCTCCCGTGACCTTCTCCACCAGAGTCACCCACTTTCTTTGTCCTAGAACAGCTTTAACGAGCTACAGGTCACAGCCCCTACAACCGCCCCATTTATGGTGTACAACGCCGTGATTTTTAGAATCTTCCCAGATCTCTGCCACCAGACACCCTCAGAATATCTCCCCACCCATACTCGTTGGCGGTCACTCCCCATTCCCCCCACCCTCCGATCCCTAGGCAACCACTGATCTGCTTTCTGACGGGAGCTCAGTTTCCTCCTGGCCCAGCCGAGACTGCAGCGCTGGGATGTGTGCTCACTAGCATGACCCAGAGGCTCATCCCCGACAGTCCTTGCAAACCTGGAGCGTGGCCAGGGAGCCCCGGCCTTTTCTCTCCCATGTGGATTCGCTGGGCAGGAGAAGAGAAAATGTCCACTACGGTTTATTCTCCTGGCAAAGCGGCCTGAAGATCCTAAGCATTAGCTTAGGCCACAGAGCAAAAGAAAGTAATTCTCAAAGCACAGATACTGACCACTGATCTAGGACTCCAGTTCCAAAACTATCAGTAACATCTTCTCGGCTTGTTCTCCATGAATTTTTCTTAAACATCAGCCCCTGTGCCTGCTTGTCCTCAGACAAGGGTGACAGGTGACTGCTCACCCTCGGCTTGGAAAGAGGGCATACGTCATCTTAGTGGCTGCTGGCCCAGAACTCACTGCCAGGGGAAACCATGGTGCCATGTGGCTTCGCTGTAGAGTCCTGAGCCATCCTTTCCTGGTGCTCGCGTACCAACCTGAGCACTCCAGGGGGAGAAGGAAACAGGACTGAGGAAGTGCCGGGGCTGAGGACCACCGCTCCCCATCGGCTTAGGGGAGTCCGGAGTGCCAGGAGGATTGAGGGGACTGTGTGGGGCAGGTAGAAACAGCACAGCCATCCTCCAAGGGTCATTAACAGAGCTGCTCTCTCCCTGGGGGGTTGCTGCAACAACAGCAGGTATCAAAACAACCGAGAGCCCCGAAGAACCTACCAGAAGGTTCTATACCTCAGACCCATGCCATCTGGTGAAGGCAGAGCTCTCTTCCCCCAGAGCGTTCTCCAGCCTTTGCAGGATGCAGACGTCGGAGCCTGCTCTGAGTGTGGGGAGCCGGAGTTGTCCACACCCACTGGGGGTGCCATTCCTTGCAGCCAGCTTAATTCCCTCTGCAGACAAGGAAGTCCTGGCCAGCCTGGAGCAGAGGCTGAAGGAAATCGATGAGGAGTGCAGGGTGGAGGAGAGAAGGCGTGTGGACCTCGAGCTCAACATCGTGGAGGTGAAGGACAACCTGAAGAAGGCGGAGGCCGGGCCCGTGACGCTGGGCACCACGGTGGACACCACCCACCTGGAGAACGTGAGCCCCCGGGTGAGTGGCGGGAGTCGAGGTTCCTTTGGGCCGCCTGCAGGGCTGCCCGGAGTGGGGCTGGGGGGAGCGGGTCACATGTCCTGCCCTTGGCTCAGGCCCCGCTCTCCTCTTACCGTGACAGCCCAAAGCTGCCGCCCCCACCCCTGCCCCAGACTGTACGCCGGTCAACTCTGCAACAGCGCTCAAGAACAGGCCTCTTTCAGTCATGGTCACGGGCAAAGGCACCGTCCTCCAGAAAGCGAAGGTAAGCGGTCACACCCAGCCTCCTTCAGGGCCACCAGGGGACAGCGGGGGGGGGGGGGGGGGCGCTCTTCTGCCCCGGGTAGCACTCCCCTGCTTCAGGCACCGGCTCTCGAGAGGGCTCTGCTCTCACGCAGGGGCTCAGGCTGCGCTCCACCTTTGGGTCAGTCTCTGGCTCTGATCGACACGAAAGGCGTGAGCGCTGGGTTCAAGCATTCTGACCAGTCAGCCTGAGGACACTTGATCCTGCAACTGTCTGCCACTTGATTATTGGTAGATTCCAGGGCGATCGCCTAAGTTCAGAGACAGGCTGGCCAGTTTTTCAATCAAAAAGTCAGTGATTGATTCTAAAGGCCTTCTGAAAGAAACAGATTCAGAGAGGTGATAGGATTTGCCTAAAGCCCGCAGCCAACTGGTGGTGAAGGCTCGGTAAGGTGTAAACAAGGACAGAAGGCCATTACTGGGTTCCTCCCTGAGGCTAGATGAAAAGTGTTATTAATCTTTTACTTGTTTGCACAGTAAAGAACATGCCTAGGGCAGCCTTTGCTTGTGGCAAACTGCTCCCGATTTCTGTCCTGTCTACCCTGATGGAGAGATTCTGAGTGACTGACTACTCAGTCCACACGAGCCTGAGTTACTGCTCCCTCACTTCTGTGGCCGACGCTGCACATCACCCCCAGTGAACTCTGCCCTGCCACAGCCTCAAAACCCTCTTAGCAGCTGCCCCACATCGTAAATAGCCACGGGTGGAAATGTAACCGCCATCTCTATTCCGAAATGCTTCTATGCTTCAGAAAACTATTTCTCCTTACTTTGTTCTATGTAGATAGATGGAGGTTGCTACAGAGGATAACTAACTCTCTTCTTTGGGGGGGGGGGCGGTGCTGGTATTTGAATGGCACTCTAGGAATGGGAGAAGAAAGGAACAAGTTAGGAAACAAGCTTCATCTAAAGACTCTCCTGCCATCACGGACCTTGGTGACACTCCTGCTTCATGAAGGTCTTCGTTAAAGCAGCAACTCTGTGAAAAGGTGAGTCTGCTCAGAAGCAAAAGGACGGACTCTGGTACTCTGGGTGCAGAGCGCAGGCAAAGAGGAGGCTCAGTCTGTTTTCAGAGCCAAAGGAAGTAATACAACAAAGGGAAGGCTTCTCTGGAGAGCTAATTGCTACTGGATGGAAACAAGACATTGCTGTATTTAGGGGTATTCTGTGTTTCTTCTTTGAAGTTTTCAGCAACTGCTTTATCAAGCTTTTTAAGTAGTGAAAAGCATCTGATGGTGGGACTTTGGTGGAAAAGAAATCAAGGTAGCAGGACCCTGTTCTCCTGGTCGTGCGGCTTTGGTGAGCAAGGAGACCTCAACTCCTGACTGTCATCTCTCATCCACATGTCGACTTCCCTCTAACATTAGCAGGTCCGAATCAGTCTTCCGTGGTTTCCACCTGTGTGAAGCCATCCAAGACATGCTTTTTGAGAAACAGTTAACAGGGGAGAATATTTGGGACCAAGCTGAGGTGCTGTCCCCACTAAGTTAAGGACTTTTTTTTTTCAGCCTAAAGCAGGCCTGAATCAATTGCTTTTAAATAAAATTTTAAATGATGCTGTATTATATAGAAAAAAAATGTTTAAAATCCTGTAATTTAGAACAGCGAAAAGTGTCTTTTTCAGATTTAAAAGTATCTTTTTGAGGTCCGACTTTTTACATTACCGTAGGAGGAAAGATTACCCAGTGTTTACAGACGCAGTCCTGTGGCCAGTCCATTTTTAGGGGAAAAGTTCTTTCCTTTTAAGTTCTGCTTAATGTCCAGGCCCCTTCCAAGAAAAACATGGTGAATTGTTTCAGGTTGACGCTCTCCTCCTCCTAAAATTGGCAGTGCTGTTCTTTGTGTCTTCTCTTCTGATACAGTGTTTTGGTTTTTTTTTAATACCGATTGAAACATTTCATCTGTCGTTCCTGCCTCCTTTCTGGGGATTGTCAATCAATCAGCATTCTCTAACACTGGTTCCTGAGAACTAAAGGTCTTTTGATTTCTGTTGTCTTCCTAATCCCAGGGCATTTATTTCCTTTGTCATATACACTTGGTGTCCTTTACCAAGTGAATTAGATTTTTTTTTTTTTTTAAATAAAACGTTACTTGTATTTTGGGGTTTTCTTGTAGTTCATGGAATGGCTTGGGGCGGTGCCTGGAGACGGCTACCTTAAGGGGGAAACATCTTTCTTGGTTATTTACACACTGAAGTTCAAAATATGTGCAGTAAAAACTAGTAGAACTGTAAGGTGCGATCCTAGCAGGAGACTTTAAGCCTCCTTAACTCAAGCTGCAGAGGTAAGGCCAGAAGAGGATTTTCCCAGGATAACACAAAGGAAACACCTACGATCAGTTTCTGCAGATAAGTGGCTGGAAACCTGCACTTCCAGAAGTGAAACACACTCCTAAATAATTCTTGGGGAAAAGAAACATACGAATACTTGGAAGGTTGCCTAAGGAGTAATTAAGCAAGTTCCATGCATGAATGTCTTTATTTAAAAAAGGACAAAATCTGGCTCATTGAAATGACTAATACGATAAAAAGACAACCTAAGGCAAAATTAAATAGAACTGAAAAAAAAAAAAAAGGCCTTTAGTTTGAAGAATATATATTTTCCATTTTATAAAGTTAGCATGGTTCTGGTACCAAATATCCAACACAAATCACAGAAGAAAAATCAAATCTCATTTTTTTGGACAAAGATGAAAAACCTTAATATTGGCAAGTGAAATTCAATAGTGTTTAAAAAATCATGCATCATGACCAGATCATGTTTATCCAAAAAGCAAAGGTGATTCAACAACTGAAAATATGCTAATGGGCCATTTATGATATGAACAGATTAAACGTGAAAAACATCATCTCCACACTCCTAATCAAGTATTCCTAACCTGATAAAGTAATCCACAGAAAATAACAGAGAATGATGGAGGATCCTTTCAGGTCCAGAAACAGATACCACTACTTTTTAAAACATTATTCCGGAGGTCCTAGAAAATGGAAACTGACAAGAAAAAGTACTTGTATAAACATCAAAAGGAAGAGATGAGTCTGATTATAAGTATCTTTCTAGAAAAGAGAATTAATTAGGATTAGAGCATCCAGCAAGTTGGCTGGAATCAGGATCATTCAGAAAATAAAAGATTGATGACCTATCTGCAGTGTTCTAATTTTTCCAAGGAGAACGTATTTATACATTGCTTGTGTAATTAAAGGCCAGTTTCTTTTAAAAGAAAGGAATTCCCTCTGCTGCTCCTGGGGCACGGAGAGGTTTGAACTATTCAGTGGCACCTTCCATAGAAAAGGTAAAAAAAAAAAAAAAAAGTGGCTTGAGGGCTGGGGCCTAAAAATAGAAACAGCCTGCAGTGTGTAAGCCCAGAGCCCACATTTGTGTGTTGTTTTTTCTTAAGTCAAAGCAATTCAGATGGGATGTCCAAACATCAGCCCTGACCCCGACAGAGAGCTTACACTATAAAATGATGAAACTGCTGTCAATTTAAAGACGGGAAGGTTCATTTAAGTTCTTTGACATCACCTCTCAGCACCTGCCAGGTGGACATGTGACCCCGCTCTGATGTCACCTGCTACCACAGCAAAGGTACTAAGGGAATGAAAATGACCTTTCCTTTGTAATGTCTAGGAGTACCTTCCGATGACCTCTGCCAGTACTTTAAATCAAAGTAGCCTTGAACATTTGCAGGTGAAACATTTGCATTATTTACATTAAAAATAAAAGTCACGGATAAAGCGTCTGGATTTAGGTTACAGCTCTTTTGCAAAGGTTTCTACTGAAAACCCAAATCCAAACCACGTAACCAAGGGGAAGAAGTGTTTCCTAAAGACTGCAGGGGTGAGTACCTAGTTTGCCAGAAATATATCCCAGCTGAGCCTTCCTGCCACATGGGTCCTGTTAAGTAACCACCATCATTTCTTGAAATATTCCTTTCAAAACTAGACATGAAAAGCAAAACCACCTAGACAGCATAAGATCGATGCTTCAGAAAGCCAATACCCTCTAAGTGTCTCTATGCCGTTATTTTGTTAATTCCACTCCTCCTTGTCCTACTAAAAAAGCAAGCAATAAACACCCCACAATTAGCCCCCCTAAGTAATCTCTCAAGGAAGCCCCTCCAAGGGAATGTAGCTCAGGACCCGGGCCAACGTCACTGGGCCCCTGGAGACCTGGGCCCCTGGAGACCGGAGCGGTCTGCATGCTTGGCCCCTCCCCCATAGTCAAACAAGTTGGTTCGTGGTCACATTCCAGTCTGGACTCTTTCTAGGTCTTTGCCACCCACAGATCCGGTCACAAATGCCATTCAAGCCCCTTCTCAAACTGAAAGCAAATGCGCTCGCACATCTTTGGGAAAAGATGTGTGAAAAGGTCCACAGTTTTTCAGTCTCAAAATGCTGTGGCTTCGGGGGTCTGAAGGACACTCTAGTGCATGCCTCCTCCTGAGCACTACCGCCCCGGCAACATTCTGTTTAGCATTTGTTGTGGGCAAAGTGAGCTTCCAACAGGCCACTGAAAGTCTCCAAGCTCCTTGGTCCTTGGGAGAGGTTGATCTTAGAAGACACCAGGGCACGCCCAGGTACAAAAGTCGACATTCACTTATACATCAAGGCTTTTCAACAGCGGCAGTAGTGGCTGTCCCCAAGCAGGATGGTCCACAATTGGGACAGCTCCTCTCCGGGGCTGAGGGACGCAGGCAGGTGGGCGGGCGGGTTGGGCAGGAGCGGGAGGTGGCGGCTCAGAGGACCCCGGGCGACCGGAGGAGACAGGCGTGCCCTCAGCGCCCCGGGTGCCCAGGCCTCCTGGGCGGGCGCTGGGAGGTGAACGACTGCTGCCCTCCTGTGGGGGCGTCTCCTCGCAAGGACCCTGGGAGAGAAGCGAACTTGAGGACAGGAGGAGTGACTGAGCCCTCTTCTCACCAGGGGGCAGCCTGTGGGCCCCCGCATGTGTCTCCCTTGCTCCCCAGCCCAAGCAGAAGTGCCAGACCAGAGGCCCTGGCTGCTTGCCCTTGGGTCCGCCGCCCGGCCTCAGGAAGCCACGCTCTGCGTGTGGCTGAAAACCCGAGGCTCCAAGGGCATCTGCTTCTGGCCTCCAGCTCCTCTTAACTGGAAATTCACAAGCAGGAGCCACAGTGGGCCCCTAATGCTGCCCAGCATGACTGTCCCGTTCAGACCCCGTCTCTCCTGGGCCGTGACTACTCTCTGCTCGAACCACCAGCGCCTCCTCCCATCCTCCCTTGGCTGATGGCCGTTCCTCCCATTTCACCGAGAGGAACGCTCAAAAACGAACTCCTCCCAGCCTCCCCCACCCTCTACCCCCCTCCCCGCATCCCTGCCCGTGTCCTGCCTTCCAGCCCTCTGCCTCCACCGCGCTCCCAACCCAGGCCTTCCTGGAGACCCTCTTCCCCCAGCTGCTGCTATTTTTCTCAACGATGCCTAGCACGAACACACTACAGGCTGTACTCATTCGCCGCGTCTCCTGCACCCACATGGGAGCTCCAGGAGGGCGGAGCTTCTCATCGTCTGTTCACCGCTATGTTCCTGCACCTAGAACGGCGCCCGGGATGCAGGCGGCGCCCACCACGTTTCCTGCTGCAACGAACAAACCATCGCAGGAGGCCTTCTGCTGAGCAAACGCCCTCGACCCTGCGTTCAGCTGAGTCCCTAGGGCTCAGCGGTCTCAAGCCCCGCCCCCCACCCCCAGCTCCCACAGGCAGAGCAAGCGCCCCACTTACGGTTCCCACAGTGGGGGCCCTGCCAGCCGTCCCGGCACTCGCAGCGGTAGCTCCCGTTATGCAGGATGCAGGTGCCCTCATGCAGGCACGGGCTGGGCTTGCACAGGCTGACCGGCTGCTTGGCTTCTACAGGGGAGAACGTGCCCAGCAGGCCCAGCTGGGGTCAGGCCCAAGGCCCCCTCCTCTCAGGAAGCCCAGGACAGAGGTGAGGCCACACATGTTCCCGTGGGCCCTTAGGCAGCAGGTTGGAGATCAGCACACGGTTGGGGGCCCATACTGCTTGGCTAGGTCAGAGACCCAACGTCCACCCAGCTCTCCTACTGCATACAGAGACTCTCTCCCTCTCAAATGTGCACACAGCAGCATTTACTGTGACGAATACACTTTTAAAAAGGCATAAAGGAGGTCACTGGCAAAAGGATGCCTTGGGGTCAGGCTGGCCTGGCTGTGTGTGTTCCTGGCGCTGCTGTTCACTACATAGGTCAGTGTCAACACGGGTCCTTAAGATTCCTGGGGGAATCTGTATCTGAATGAGGTCTTCTGTTCAAATGAGGAGCAAAAATTCTCAAGTTTGGCCATCCTTGCAATGATGTGCCTGAGGGTTCAGGCTGAGTGTCCCACCCCGCACCCCCCGGAGGGGACACCGAAGGGCGTGGACTCCCCCACTCACCTGCACATACCCACTCGAGGAGCGCGTCCTGGTGGTACCTCAGGTCTGCGTAGCTTGCCACGTGGATCAGGGAGTCCCGGGGACCCGCGAGCCTCCTCAGCGCCTCCCTCAGGACAGGCCCCACGCCCACCACCAACGCGGAGACGCCGTTGTTCCTCAGCTTCTGGATAGGGACAGCTGCGTCCTCCACCCCCATTCCGCCTGTGAGCAGCACCACGGCCTTGGGGACACCAGGCCGGGCGCCCCTCTGGACAGTCATCACTTTGTCATAGACGTGCAGCAAGGCTGTGCCTGCCGAGCCCATCCCGCCCAGGTAGGGGGCCTGGCTTGTGGCCCGCAGCACCGCGGCACGGGTGAGATGGGTGTCCAGCCCGAAGGCTGTCTGGACCCGGCTGCCGTACACCACCAGGCCGACCTGCGTCACGTCCGGGTTCACGTCAAACGGCAGCATGAGGCTTCTCACGAAGCTCTGCATCTGGGCGAAGTTCTCGGGCCCCACCGAGGCTGAGGCATCCAACATGAAGAGCAGGTCCAGTGACTGTGCCTGGCAGCCTGTGGGCACCCACAGCTGAGCCTCAGGACAGGCTCTGCCCAGCAGAGCCCCTCCTCTGGACCAGGCCAGCAAAAGAGGGACCGCTCTGGGTTGGGCCTGCTAGGCTGTCCCCTGCAGTAGCCACCTTCCACCCTCTCCTAAAATATTAGGACACGTGAATGCCAGGCTAGACCACGTTCCCAGACTCCCTGGCAGATAGGTGTGGCCACGTGTCTAAGTTCTGACTGGATGTGGTTGGAAACTGCATAGTGTCCAAAATCTGTCCTCAAAAGGAAGCTACCTGCCTTCTACTTCCCTTCTCCCCACTCCCCTGGCTGAGAAACTGTGATCCCGGACCCAGAGGTGGAACCACAAGGTAGCCAAGCCACCCTGTGGGCTGAGGCCACTCACCTCTGAACTGTGAGAAAATGAACACCTACCATCTGTAAGCCACTGAGCTCTGGGGACCCTCTGTGACAGAACTTTGCCTGTACCCTCATCCATCCCATTACTGAGCGCCTTCCATGCGCCACACACTATACTCCAGGTGCTAATTACACCAAGTGGACAAAGTGGGTCCATGCCTCCCCTCACTGGGCTGATGGTCTGTGGGGAGACAGCCATGAAACCAGCACAGAGTCACAAATCCCGTGAGCAGGCATGGGGGGTGGGGGGAGCAGGGTACTAGGAGACGGAGCAACAACGGAAGTAGACTGGGAGAAGGGGTCAGGGTCTCTGAGGAGTAAGTGTAAGCTGCAGGCTGGGCGGCGCGTCCAAGGCAGGGAGGGGACCTGAGTGGCCGCTCCCCCCACCTTCACCCTGCGCAGGGGCTGTAGAGAAGTCTGAGGCACCAGCCACAGGGAGCTCTCAGAAGCCAGTGGAAGGAGTTCGGGTTTTATTCCACGGCAGAGGGGAGCCAGGGAGAAGGTTTAGGCACGGAGTAAGTGGATCGGACTCACTGGTTTTTAAAAACCACTCCAGGGCACCCGGGTGGCTCAGTCGGTTAAATGTCTGCCTTTGGCTCAGGTCAGGATCCTAGGGTCCTGGGATGGAGCCTCGCATTGGCCTCCCTGCTCTCCCTCTGCCTGCCACTCCCCTTGCTTGTGCCGTCAAATAAATAAAATCTTAAAGAAAAAATAAATAAAAAACCACTCCCACCCAAGGAATCGCTGAGCATCTGGCAACCGAGAGGAGCCTAAGAAGACATGA